TGGGAATCTGTAGTCACACATGTCCACAAGGATTCTGCCCCCTGCCATCGGCTCCTACTTGGAGATACTTGGTAAAGTAGTCTCATCAAGGCCAGGAGCTCCCGCTGGATCCGGCTGCCCTGCAAACCTTGGGCCAGGGCACAGCCGCCCAGGGCCAAGGCTGGGCTGCTCGGAGCAGGCCGCCCCCTGGTGGCGGGCAATGGAACTGCCCCACCCACCCCAGAGCAGGACCCAGGAGGAGAGGGCTGCCCAGGCTGGCGCCCACTGCCACATATCCCAAACTCCAAGAAGACAGGGAGAGGAGAGCTCCTATTTTGGCAGCCAGCACATTTCTTCAGCCAAGCACACATATGGGAACACAAGGACACAAGCACAGCCATGTGTGCCCCATTGCACTCTGTCCCTAACCCAGCCCCATGTTTTCTTCCCAGTAAGTGGAACCAGGCCCAGGTCTCCCTGTGGGCAGTCAGCAGAGGCAGGCTCTAAAGCTCTCCCCACCCCCTGTCACACCAAGGGATAGCCCCGGGGCTTTGCCCAGCTATTGTCCGGGCAAGCACCAGTGGGAACCCCAGGGGAGGGGGGAATTCTGGTGTCAGCTTTGGGGGTGCTGAAGGGCCAGACAGGTGTGGGTGTCTCCTGGCAGGTAAGACACCAACATCCCATGTTGGAGTACCCAGGGTCTGCTCTCACTTCGGGCTGCTGGCTCCGGCTTCCTGGGGACACACACCCTGAGAGGCGACAGAGGTGGCCCAGATGCTCAGCTCGCACACCCTGCTTTTGGCCTGGCCCAGTCCTGGTCATTACAGGTGTTTGGGACAGTGGCCCAGTGAGCGGGAGCTTTCTCTGTGTCCCTAATTATTACATCATCTATAAGAAAGAAAAAAAAGGCCAAGCAGATTCTGTTGCCCTTGGCCACCCCTCCCTGAGCTCAGGGCTCCCCAGGCACACTGGCCTCTGCTGTGATGAATGGAACTGGGTGGTTTGCTGGGTCCACACACTCGATTCTTCCTCAGTCCCAGAGGCAGAGGGTGGAGGCACCAGCGGTCCCAGGAAGGAGGAATCGGTGGGCCAGGCAGCATGTGGCGCTGGTGGCAAAGCAGACTCAGCGTTCTGCCTCTCACCCCCAGCACTGGCTCGGTGCAGCTTCACTTTCTGGACTCTGCATCTGAAGATACGAGAGAAACAAATGGGAGCCAAGGGGGGCATATCTAAGCCAGGAGTCCAGGGCTGCAAGGGCAGGAAGGGGTCCCGGCCTGGGGTCCCTTCCCAGAGAGCGTCAGGGGTCTCCTTGGCCCTCCCCCGCGCCCTCCCCCACCCCCAAGGCACTGAAGGTCATGACCCGCGTGTGCTTTGGGTCGCGGAGAAACCGCTTTTCTAAATAAAATCTACGCAACAGACTCGCATGCTTTCACTTCTGTAGCCACACCTGCCGTGTGAGGCTTGGCTGGTCTGAAGTGGCTATTTCCGAGGTGGAGATGTTCCCTGGTTTCTTCTACATGTCCCTGCCCCTCGTCTGGCCCCGCTCCCCTGCCACTTGTCCTCCGCCATAGTCCTGGCCAGAGGTCATGCCACAAGATAGACGCTGGCCGTCCTCAGCTTTTTCTACAGCCAGGGCCTCCCTGACTGCCCAGGCACAAAAGGTCCCCTGGTACCCTGTCCTGGCTCCAGCCCAGATGTCAGTAGGGCGAGTGTGGGTACAGCCAGCAGAGTTTGCCCAGCACCCCCTGAGACAGTGCAGTAGTGAGGAAGCTGCAAGCCTGGCCCTCAGTCCTGTGTGAAGGGCAGATGAGGGGCGCGCCAGGAGGCCCCGCTTCTGTGGCAATGATGATGGTAATGGCATGGGTATAGTGCCAGCAGCAAGGTCAGCAAGACCCTGAGCAAGGCCCATGGCCAACTGGGCAGTACAAGGCCTTCACACGAGGGGAGAGCTGCCCTGCCTCTCAGTCCTGCCCCCAGTCCATACCCAAGAACTCAGGTGCAGGAGGCAAGTCTGTTTCCAGGTATCCCCCCATCCTGCCTCCAGCCAGACCCATCCGAGGCCTGGGACCTGGCCCCAAAGGGTCCCACTCTGCTGGGCAGTGGCTGCATAGCAGCTGTCCACTCCGCGCATGGTGGCTCAAGTCGGCTCCAGGAAGGCGTGGCTGTGTCCCACGGGGTGTCCTTTCCTCCGTATCCTCATGTCCTCTGGGTATGGGGGATGCAGCCGGCTGGGAATCCCTTGAAGTTGGGTGGTTTCTAATTCTGGGCTTGCATAGCTGACTGAAGGACTCCCTGGGCCGTGGCTGCTGGGAAACTCGGAGTCCCCAGGGCTGGAGCCACACAGCAAGACATGCGGTCTTAGCCTCATAGGAAAAGCGAATCATTTTTCTCATCACTTTTATCTGTTTCTTCTGACAAAGGAAATAACAAGCCAGGATCAAAAGAATCAAAACTGAGCGATGCTCTCATCAGCCAGAGAAAGCCATCACTGACATTTCCATCTGCATCCGTGCAACCTTTTCACTTCACATTTAGGAAAGAACACCAACTGTATACTTTCTTTTTTCCCCAAAGATTTATTAACTTATTCAAAAGGCAGAATTTAGAGCGTTCACTCCCCAAATGGTTGTGCCAAGCTGAAGCCAGGAGCTTCAACCTTGTCTCCCAAGTGAGTTTAGGGACCCCAAGCACTGGATCCACCCTTTGTGGCTTTCCCAGGAGCATCAGCGAGCAGTTGGGTCAGAGGTGGAGCAGCAGGGGCCCCAAGTGTCCACAGCGGATGCTCATGTCACAGGCAGCAGACGAGCCTGCTGTGCTGTAACACTGGTCCCAAGGGGCTGTGGTTTCACAGGAGCAACACCTTGCACAGAGGGGTCCAGCTGATCCTCAGAGTCCCTGCTCCTGCTCCAGGCAGCCACAGTCCCCAGTCAGTCCAGCTCCCCTCACATGGGTGGCAGGGCCTGGAGTACCTGAGCCTGTTAGGGTGCACTCCAACATGATATGGGGAGAAGCACCAGGCACTCCATACAGAAGTGTGCGTGTGCCCCAAGAGCCCCAACCCCCCCGTAATTCCCAGGTTGCTGGACCCTGGACTTCCCCACGTTGGTTCTGGGGGAAGAGCCAAGCGAGGCCAGGGAATGGGGAGCCAGGCTGGGCCAGGGATGTCCCAGGCATAATTTCTGCTAATGGCCAAGCCAGTCTTGATGGGGGAAGGGGCCATGATTACTGTTCCACACAGGAGAAACCAGGGCCACGGGGCTGGGGGTGGACCGAGGGAACTCGGACACAAAAGTCACCATGCCCTAGGACTTGGCCTTTGTGTGGCCAGGTTGATGCCCTGGCCCTTCTCCTGTTGGTGGCCATTACATAGCTCTCATGATGTGGAAGTGTCAGCTGGGACACGTCTGGGCTCCTCCCATGGCTCTCTACCCAGCCCAGGTCCCTCTCTTGGCACCGGCACAGAGGCAGTCGGCTCCCTGGCTGACTCCCAGGGTTCTGGCTGAGCTAACGGACCACGGCTATGCGGGTTTAGGAATCACCTTTGGCTGTGGCGCCCGACAGCTGGTAATGGCTCTGGTGAAGCTGTGTCTTCCTTTTCCACGACACCACGAGAAACCTGGTGGGCAGGCTCCCAAGAGCCAGGGGCTGTGGTCCCACAGACCCTCTGGGAAGACAAAGGCAGGGGCCATGGCCCAAGTGGCCCCCGTCGCCCCAGGCCCCTGTGATGCAACTTCCTGACAGTGCTGAGCTGCCTCTGCCTCAAAGGCTGCTGGGAAATGACGCGGAAGGGGGAGGGTGGTGTGAGCAGTATTGGCCACGGCCACGGCACTCTTACCACTAACTGCTCTGTGCCACCCACTGGTCCACATCCCAGATGGCCATAGTGGCTGGGGCTGGTCCAGGCCGAAACCAGGAACTGGGGCTTTGTCACGGTCTCCCAGCAGCAGGCACGGGCACAGACGCTTGGGCTGGCCTCTCTCGCCTTCCCAGGTGCGTTAGCAGGGAGCCGGCTGGGAAGCAGGGCAGCCAGGATGCAAACTGGCATCCTAATATGGGATGCTGGCATCGTGGGTGGTGGTTTAACTTGCTGTTCTACAATGTGACCCCTTCTCTTACTGAGCCATGTTCAACTCCTCGTATGCAAGTCAGCTGTTCATCTCCCATTTGCAAGAAGACACTTACCCTCAGGTGACTGTCCATCTTTGGATTTTGTGGTAATTTTTCTATTTCCATGTCCTCAAGTTCATGAACAGCCACCTGCATGGTTTCTGACTGGACGAAGGGTTCTTTATGTGGCTTGGGCCTGGGGCTGGGGATGGTGAAGTTGGGAAGGCAGATGGGAAGGGAACATGGGTGGTTGCAAAGCCGCCTGGTAGCAGGTGACACAGTACAGGCTGAGGCAGGGCACCTGGTCTGCATTTGGGGTGTTCACTGGGTAGCTGTGAGCACCAGGATGAGAGGGGAGGGTGACTGACCCCCAAGGTCCTGCTGGTGTGGTGGGGGGCTCCTCCGTCCTGAGGCTGTCTTTGCCCACAGAAGTGGGGCCATCCATTCCTGCCCTGAGTGGTGAGGGGCTGCGAGGCCCAAGCCAGTGCTGCCATCTGAACTTCAGCAGGGGCTGTGCCCCTTGGCCAACCCCACGTTTGTTTTCTATCATGGAATTTGAGAAAACAGCTAGTGACTCAAGCTGTGTCGTCTTCCATCCAAGCTCTTGCTCTTGGCTAACTCCAGGCAAAGAGGGGGCCACATCGGCCTGTCCATGTGCCCGACAGTGTGCACGTGTGTATTGCATGCACGCTCATTGCCTGTGCATACATGTATGAAATAAGTGTGTGCTCATGCCTACATCCCTTATAGAACTGGTTCGCTGGCATGCACGTAAGGCCCATGAATGACTCTGTGCCTCTTGCTCTGCTGTCCCTGTGTCCCACAGAGATGGACACATGGGGAGTCCCCAAGCATAGGCCCCACGGCCAAGGCGACTGGGATGACGAACACAAAGCACAGACAGGGATTGTGCCCCAGCGGCTGCCCAGTTTATTTTGCAAAGCTGGAAGCCCAGGGCCCCTTCCGAGCCCCTGGGAAATTCTCCTTCCCTTTGTCAGGGAGAAAAATGCAGAGGCTTGCCCAGGGCCTCGAGGCTTAAAGGAACCCATTCATTCCAGGACCCAGCGGGCACTGCCTCGGCTGGTCCTCCGGGGCTTCTCACACACACACACCTTCCATGCCAGGGGATATCTGATCCTGGCAGGCCCACACTGGACCCGGGGGGCACTCAGGAGCTTGTGAAAGGGGATGAGAGCCTGGGGTGGGGGAGAGGTAGGGGTCAGGACCCTCCCCGACCCTGCCCTGAACTGCTCCCAATCTCAGAGATTCTGGTGTAATTCCATCAGAGACCCAGGAAGGCAGCCGGGCAGGTCCATTATGTCAGGGAGGCTTGCTACTGGGACAGGGTCCCCTCTGCTGCTCCTGGCAGCTGACAGAGGAAGCGGGGGAGGTGTCTCTCACTGTCGTCCACAGCCCTCCCCTGGGTGTTCAGGTCACATTACCCTAGGAAACCAGGAACCCCCCCAAATCATTGGTGCCTGGCTGTTTCTCAGCAGCACGGAGTCCAGGGCGGGGCTCCACCACCCTCCTGGTCCTCAGGGTGCTGCAGGCTGCAGTGCCAGGGCGAGTGGTCATGAGCCAGCTCCGTGTGACTGTCACGCACTGGAATCACCTCCTCCTCCGTGGGCACGCCTCCAGCCGGCCCAGCCCCTCATAGGACTGGTAGAAAATGTCAAACTCCCGGGCGCCCCAGCCCCTCCACACGGCCAGACACCACTCTGCTTGTTCGTTCACAAAGCCACACACCACCGTGTCCTTGGCCACCACGGCTGCGTCCACCAGTGCCCTGCAGAGGGGAGGGGGTGGGTCTCAGGAAATCCTGGAGGGTCTGCCTCTGCCTTGGAGCAGGGCCCCCCTTGTCTGCACCTCCCGGGCTGGGGTCTGAGCATGCACTGGGGTCCCCGGTCAGCTTCTCCCTGGTGTGTTCCGCTCTGGGCTGAGGCCTTATCAAGCCCAAGGATAGAGCACAGGTGGGACAAGTGCTTGCCCTTCTGGCAGCTGCTTCACATGATTTCCAGACACGTTTCTCCTTTTGGGTCACAATGGATGGCACTGGGGCTCCTCTGCCTTGGTGGCTCACCTTGTACCTGCCTGCACTTTCTCTCCTGCGTTCCATACGGGCACCCACTTGGCACCCAGCACGTGCCAGGGCTGGCTTGTACTGGCCACCAGGGGCTCTTTCTTCACTTCGGCTTTGGATGGGACTAGGTAGAGGCCACAGGACCCTAAAGCAGGTACAGCAGAGCCAACTGGCCTGGTGAGCAGACCACTTGCTCCAAGTCTGATCCCCAGGCTCAGCCTGGCCTCAGAGCCCTCACAGGGCAGGGGCCACTGCCCCGTCTTACCGAGGAAGCTCAGTACTGGTGAGCCAGGGAGTGGCGTGGCCTGAGATGTCCCACTGGTCATCAGGGACACACAAGCCTGACAGGATCCTTCAGCCCCCTGACGGTCCGGAAGACATAAAAACCCACGCAGTCACCAGCAGACGGGATGTAGCCGCCAGAGAGGCAGCACAGAATGATGGGGAGGTGCTCAGAGCACACCCAAACACACACACACCCCTCACATGCACATTCATACTCACACACACACCCCTGTACATGCACATTCATACTCAGGCACACACAGAGAGACACACACACAGATTCATACACAGGCAGACACTCACAGGCATGCACGCACACACACATACTCAGGCACACACGTACATACACTTGTGTACAAATTGCACAGAAACTGAGGCATGTCTGTATAAACACACACATATACACAGATGCACATACACATGCATACACAAACACACACATGCACAACACACTCAGGCATGCATGTTAAAACACACATGTACATTTAAACTCATATCCAGGCATGCAACACACTCAGACACACATGTACCGGTATATACACACATTCATACACACCGACATACATCCACACGCACATATTCATGCATGCGTGCTTACACACATGTACATCCGCACACCTGTGTTTAAATTGAGGGGCTTTTCATAAGGGAGATTTACCACACGGGGCTCAGTTCTCAATGAGGGGACAGCAGGAATGGCAGGCGGGCACTTGCCTTGTGGCTGTGGCCCAGGCAGGCTGTCCTGCCCAGGCCCAGGGCTGCTCCCACAGCCTGGAGGCAAGGAGCGTGCTATGCCTTGCGGCTCCTCCTGGCACAATTTGGGCCTGGCTCCCCACTTGGCAAAAATGAGACTGAATCATAGATGAAATCGGGCCCTTGCGAGGTACCCCGGCTTGGGCACTTGGTCTACAGGTGCACTGGGTATCTCAGAGGCAGGTGGCCCTAGCCAATGCTGACACATGGCATTTACTGGACCTGTAACAGCTGCCCAGAAGAGCCTGTCTTGTTCGTGCTTTGCCTGATGGCCATGCTGGTGGATATAGGTTTCTTTGTGAGAACGGGGGCCGCACAGCTGCTGGGGCCGTGGCATGGGACTTGGTGCTCGTGCCTTAGCTTCCCCACGTTTCCCCCATGCTGCTCCCGGGTCCCCTGGGGGGGTCCCCTCCCCTGTCCCCATGGGGCTTACCCATGTGGAGTCAGCTCTCGAGCTTTTAAGACTGCGATGACTCGGCCCCGCTGGGCACCTGAATCCTTCTCCATGCCAATGATGATAACATCTCCACCCCGCCTGGGAAACCAGAACCGAGAGGGGAAGGGGAAGTGTTTTGTCCTGGCTGAGCTCTCTGGGGGAATGCAGCGGAGCAGAGAAAGGCATGGTCAGCAGGCAGCGAATACCCAGTTTCTGCTCAGGGATCAGGTGGCGTGAAGGATGTGCGGGTGGGAGGAGGCAGGCAGAGAACGCTCCCAGCTGGAAACCCAGCCACAGCCGGGGATCACTCACTCCTTTTCTGGTCCCTCAGGCTCGCTGGTGAGCAGCTGAGCAGAGCGGGCACAGCTGCTGTGAGGTCTGGCTAAAGAGAATGCTCCAGAAGCTAAAACTGACACTCCCCTCTCAAGCACACCTGTTACAACAGCCCCTGTTGGGTCTTCAGTGCTACCTTCACAGAAGCCAGAGGATTCTGCAGCCCAGCCCCCAAAGAGAGAGAGAGAGAGAGAGAGAGAGAGAGAGAGAGAGAGAGAGAGAGAGCAGCTGGTGGCAGGCTGAGGATGGTTTCACCATGCCAGGAGCCCTACCTGGGCACCCAAATGAGGTCCTTCACGGCCAGGAGCTTCACGGCCTGCAGGTGCTGACTGAAAGCGTCCCCATCCAGGGGGCTCAGCTCGGGCTCAGCCCTGTCGGGCGAGGCACTGACTTCGTGCAGCTGGTCAGCATCTTCGCAGGGGCTGGAGAAAGGCACGCTGGCACAGCTGACCGGGGAGCTGGGCAGGCTGCAGGGGGACCTGGCGGCCTGGGGGGCCAGGGACGAGGAGCAAGAAGACATGGAGCAGTAGTCGGTCAGCGAGTCCTGGTGGGTCAGGATCTGTGTGCCCGACTCCTTGCTGTACATGATGCTCACATCAGCCATGCAGTCCCTCCTGGGCTCTTTGGGGGCGGCGATGGGGGTGTCTGGGAGCTCTCCCAAAGGCTGCACGGGGAACATATCCCTGAGAGGGTTGGGGTCCCCACAGAAGTAGCGGGCGCACAGCTGGTAGGTGGCTGAATGGTACATCACCAAGCAGTTGGTCTTGTCATCCAAGCACCAGACGACCTCCTCGCCCCGGCACTCGGAGCCGCACACGACCGCCGTGACTGCCGAGGGAGCCGTGTAGGGCTCCAGGCGCCTGCGGATGTCCAGGGCAGCACAGTCGATGACCAGAAGGCCTGGCCCATTGCTATACCACACCTCCGAGCCACTGTTGGCCACCTCCATGGCCTTCACTGGGTAGGGGTTCTGCCGCACGTCTTCGTCCGGGATGCCGAACCTGGACCTGTTGGCCGTGTGTGAGCACAAGTAGGAGCAGCTGTCGCTGGGCACGCCCCGTGCCACGGAGAACACGGCCACGAGCCCGTCCGCCAGGCCCGCCAGCACCAGGAAGGAATTCTGCGTGGAGTGGAGGGAAGACAGGGAAAGCGTTATGCTCTTGAGCCCTGTGCAAGGCAAGAGAGAACCAGAGTGGGTATCACATTCGATCTGAACATGAGCATGCGCTGTCCACCCCTGCACCCGAGGAGGGTTGCATTAGCACGCCACCGAGTCCCTATGCTCTCCATGGTTCCACACTGCACTGACTGGGAACAGGGAGGGGCTAAGTCTCACTCACTTCGTGGTCCTGGCACTCCTGGGGGCATATTTCATCCTATTGCATCCACCCTCTCAGCCAGCGACACCTACTCTCAAGTCCCTGGATTCCATTGACCTTGGTGGGGCTCCTGAGAGTGATCAGGGGCCACGGTTACAGGCACAGGACTGAACCAGGACCCATGGTGGTGCCTCTCCCAGGATGCAACTTTGTAGCCTCACAAGTCCATGTGGGCAGGAAGAGCTCCTCAAGATGGAGCAGGGAGCCAGGCTTTGAGCCAGTGAGGGGCGACTGGGGAGCTCGGTGGGGCTCGCCAGGAGCAAGTGACCGACCTCTTGCTCAGCAGCCAGAGCCATGAGCCCTAGGAAAGGACTGGAATCCATATGCAGGATCTTAGGGGAGAGTAGGCAGCCAAGGCAAACAGAGGCCGGGTCTCCGTCCGCAGTCCCTGCTTGGGCCAGGTCGGGGTGGGGCATGGGTGTGAGTGTGTGCGTGCAAGAATGCAGGGGTCTGCCTGGCCTGGCCGCGGGCAGGATGGCTGAGGAGGCAGTGCCCGTGCGGGAGGTGTGCACAGAGCCGGCTTTATTCCTCCTGGTCAGGCTGGAGATGGCGCCCCGGCTGGGGGCTCTGGCCCGCCACGGCCTTCAATGCCGCCTTGTGCCCCTGCTCTCCATGCTCTCTAAGGTTCATTTCATACCTGTACCTCCCGCCCCCTTCCGTTTTAAAGAAATGAAACTGGAGCTGGCTGGAGGAGAGCAGTGCTCATATAGTTTGCAACCGTCAGCGGGTCCTAAGAATGCCCCGCTGCTCAGGGCATGGGTTCCCGGCACTGGCTCCGTGCTCACACCCTCCCTGCAGAGGGGCATGTGGAATGGGAGGCCGGCTGTCACCACGTCTGAAGCAACAGCACCAGGAGAAGCTCCTCGAGCCGTCTACCCAGAATGCCTGGCGCATGCATGTTGCCTGCTTCCTGCAAGTGCCAGGAAGTCGCTCCCCTGTAGGGCCAACAGCTTGGGACCCTGGGTCCTGAGAGCCAAGGATGGGGAGGGCTAGAAAAGGAGTGTACAGAGGGGCTGCTCCTGGCAGGGGCAGGAGGCCCAGGAGCAGGAGGGACCTGGCAGAGGCTGGAGGCCCAGGGCCTGAAGAGGCTAGGAGGTCCAGGGCCTGGAGTGGCCAGGAGGGCCTGGGCCTGGCAGAGGCTGGGAGGTCCAGGGCCTGGAGTGGCCAGGAGGGCCAGGACCTGGCTGAGGCTGGGAGGGCCAAGGACTGGAGGGGCTTAGTGCTGCGGAAGGAAGAGGTAGAGAGAGCAGGTGATGAGAGATTATCCTGCCCACCCAGGGCAGCAGAGCGTTATCCCTCAGGGTGCGGTGGAGCTGGGTAGGGGCAGTGCAGGGAGGCACCCCTCTTTCAGAACCAGGAGGCTGCAGGGAGCAAGGCCACGCTGGAAACTGGGCCCTTGGTGTGCATCTGAGAGGAGGTGGAGAGGCTGTAGAGTTGCCTGAGAACAGGGGCTGGCAGCAGGACATGCGAGGGCCTGGGACCCAGTGGCCATGGGGATGTTGTGGCCCTGGCAGGTGAACAAGTGCCCCAGAGACCCCTGTGCGCCACAAGGGATGGAGTACATCATACACCTGCTCACACGGACCTGTGGCCCTTAAAAGCATTTCACCTGTCAGAGATAGGGGTGAGAGACTATGCATCCATCTTCCCCTGAGCTCACCTTTTTAATCACAGGTACTGCTAAGAAGCAGGTGACAACAGCCGGGGTGTCCAGGGCCTGCTGGGGTGTGCTTAAGGGGCACATGCCCTTGAGGCTGTAGATGTAAATTTTCTGGTCCTGTAAAGGCAGACAGCCCCCATGAGACCTGGGTGGGCAGTGTGCAGGGCTCCCCAAGGGGAAATGCTTGGCCAGGGTACCCCTTTTGTGCCTTAGAAAGTACAAGCATCATGGCTTCCTGGGGCAGGTGAAAGAAACCCCCCCCAAACCATGGGCAGATCCAAAGAATCAATCTACAGCTGCCCATTGTCCACTCCCCAAAGACAGCCTGTGTATCTGCGTGTGTTGGGGTGCCCACCATAGGGGATGATGCCCCCGCAGGGCTCCTCCCACTGATTCTCAGGCACAGCCATGGCACCTGTTCTCAACCCTTCCACAAGAGCATGAGGTGTAGTGCTTCACTCTCCAGTTCTCCAGTTTTCACCACCCCCAGTCAGATGGGGGTGCATTTTAGGGACCTGTGTGGGCCCGAGTATGGTTCTTGTTTATTTCTTTCTGGCACATTCTGGATTCAGACCACACCAACCAAGCGGCATATTTCCAGTAGGTATGACAGTGGTATTTTATCTCCCAACCTAGAGTGTCACAGCACTTGTTTTGGAGTCGGTCTGCATTCCTGAGGTCCCCAGAACGAGGTGTCTTCTGTGGAGACCCTACCTACACACCCCAACTTTCTGAGCCTCTCTCCTGAACTCAACATTTAGGTACACGGAATTCGGGACAGGTGGGGGCCAGGGCTGGCAGGAGCCTGTCGTGGCTGAGGGCCTTCCTCTGGGGGTCCCTTGAGATGAACCCAGGCCTCCCTGCAGGTAGAGTTGGCCTGGGTGTCCTGTAGTTTTGTAGCTCTGGCCCTCACTCTGGGAGCTGTAGGTCCCACGGGGCAGTTACCTCAGTGGCTGTCCACAGCGAGTTCTGCACCTTCAGTTGGCAGCTTAGTCTCAGGCCTGCACAGCACATCCTCCGCACCTCCAGGAGGCCCTTCTCTGTGTTCACCACCGTGTAGTTCCTGTGAGAGGCACCGTGTGGCTCATTCCTGGGGACTGTGGTCACCTCCAGTGCCCTCAGCCCCAGTGTGGCCAACAGCTCTGCAGGAGGGCATGGCTGTGGCCTCTTTAGCTCCAGAGGGCACCGAGGACTGTGCCTCCTGGTATCGGGCCCCGTGTGTGCAGTCTGCCTGATGACACTTGCAGGATTCTGGGGTCAGGGAAGCCCAGAGTCACAGGTCCTCTGGGGATGGAAGAGTTTTGTCTACAAGGGCCAGGTATGGTCTCAGCAGACGCTGTGGCCCCACTGCCCCCATGGCTGTCTCCTGTGTCCCTTGTCTGTGACGGTAGCTGGTAGGTGCATCCCAGAGCACATAGGTCTTTCTTACAGCCCAAGCTAAGTGGGGGCAGAAGATTCTTGATGCCACGTTCTACCTAGCCCATCCCCTCCTCGCACGCTTACCGCGTCACCATTTTGGATGAGAGATGATAAACACGGCTGAGCTGACAGCCCGTTCTCATTCTCTGAGCAGAATGCCGGTCCACGCAGATTCCATTTCTCTGTCTTCCCTGCCCATCCCTACCCCTCCGTGAGTTAGATGTGTCCCAGGGCAGTTCTTCTCTCCTCCCTGCCCAGAGTACCTGCCCCCCTTCCTCGGGAGCTGCCCCTTCCTCAGGCTGCTGGTATTACTTTTCTGTTTCATAATTTAAAAACATGCATTTGAAAGGCAGAGAGATAGGGGTACACACAGACAGGAAGTCCCCCATCTGCTGGTTTACTTCCCAAATGCCTCTAGCAGCCAGAGGTGAGGCTGAAGCCAGGAGACCAGGTCTCAATACCGGCCTCCCTGGTGGGGCACAGGGACACAGCCCTGGATCCATCGTCTGTGGCTTCCCGAGGTGTACAAAGCTGAAGTGAAACGGGACAGCCAGGCCTTGGCCTGCCCGCTCCTGGTGGTGAGCCTTAGACAGGCCTGGGGTGGGTACAGTGGCTCAGATGTGGCTTGGGATACTCACACCCCATGCTAGAGCACCCGTCTCTGACCCAGGGTCCCACCCAGTGCACCAGGTGGGCCCCTGGCACCCACGTGGGAGACTCGGACTGAGTTCTGTGCTCCTGGCTTTGCTTTGGCCCCACCTTGCCTGTGGTGGACATCTGGGAATATGCCACTGGATGGGAGATCTGTGTCTCTCTGCCTTTCAGACATCATGAAAATAAATACATAAAAACACAAGGACGCATCACAGATCACAGAGAGGCTGCTGTCTTCCCAAAGAGTACAAGCTTCCTGGGCCCCGGGCAGAGCTGCCTGTCCTGGCGTGTGTGTGTGTGTGTGTGTGTGTGTGTGTGTGTGCGCGCGCGCGCGCGCGCAGGACTGCAGGGATGGGCACCTGCTTCCCATACAGCACTCGATTTGAGCCCTCTTGCTGAGGTGCACTCAGGTGATGGCTCAAGTACGTGGGTCCCGCTGTCCACGTTGAAGACCCAGACTGAGCTCCTGGCTGGTGTCCTTGGGCTGGGCCCAGCACGAGATGCTGTGGGCCTTGAGGAAGCGAGCCAGAAGATGGGAGATGGACCTCTCTCTTTCATACTTCCCCATGTGGGTGGAGTACTGCCCATGCTAGCACCACAGGAGCAGGCTGGTTCCCAAGTTCCTCTGATGTCCCTCACAAGTCTATGACAAAGTGTCACATGTAGCACGTGTCACATGCTTTGTGTATCACATATTCTGATTGTTACATGCTCTGCTCACTTCCTTCCCTACACTTGGGCTCAACTGTTTGTTGGCACTTAGAGACCGTCCTCTGGCTCCCAGTGGTGCCCACTTGTGTGGGGTTGGTCCTCATTTCTAGGTCTTTGCAATGGACAGATGGAGGAGGTAGGAGTTTAGTTTCTTTAAAATAGATAACAAGGGCATCTGCTTTTGATTTGGCATTGGGTGTTCTGCTTCTACTTTTACACCCATTTGCTTTTTGGCCCTTGTCAAAAGCTGCATTTACCCAGCACCAGCACTGTAATTACTCTTCAGCTTGGGCCACGGCGACAGGCAGTCTCATGGTAACAGCAGGTGACACCATCTGCTGACCATCTGCTGACCATCTGCCGACCTTCGATTTTGTCCCGAGTGTGTGCCCCACAGGAAGGTTCTGTGCCGAGGCAAGGTGGAATAGGTGGGAACCCACAGGGCTGGACCACTTCCTACAATGTCTCCCTCTTGTCCTGAACCCTACCTTCACTGTCCCATGATGCACCTGGCTGCCTCAGCATGGTGGAGACTCCATGATGAATACACACAGACACATTGAGCTGCACTGGAGGTGCTACGGAACCTGGCTTCCAGCCACCTCGTGGGCTCTCCTGCAGAGTCAGAGAGTCACAGAGCTGGAATGCAGGCCTCCCGGCAGACATCCTGGCCTCTTCTGCGTTGCCCACTGTGCGTGTCCACATCCATCTCACTCTCTCATCCTTCCTCCTGCTTCTCTGGGGAAAAGGTCTCCAACGGCAGGTGCCTCCAACACACACCCCTATTTCAGGGGACATCCTACCTGCCTCTAGGCTCAGCTTCAGCCACATCTACAATGTCAGCAACCAACCTCCCCACCCCACCACTGCATGGAACTTCGTCTTAAACCAAATCTTGGTGCCCATCCACACCCTTAGCAAGTGCTCCCCACTTCTTTGTTTCTTCTATTTTTCTTTTCTTATTTATGACATGTGGGGGGAGGGCAGGGAGAGAGACAGAAAGAGAGAGAGGAGAGCTCTTACCCACTGTTGACTCGCCCAAGCACCTTAATAATGGCTGAGGTTGGGCTGAGGCCAGAACTGGGAGCCAGCAATCCAGGTCTGGCACGTGGGTGGCGGCAACCACCACGGGAGCCATCACCTGTGGGATGATTCCTAGGGAATCACGTTAGCAGGCGGCTGGAGTGGGGAGCTACAGCCGGACATTGAAGCACGTCATTCTGACAAGAGACAGACACCCTAACCTGCATCTTGGCCCTAGGCCACACACCAGCCCCTCTTTGTTTCCTGGAAGGACAGGCCCCTCGGGCCCCACGCTGGTGCAGGTGGAGTGGCTCTCCTGCATGGACTGGAGGCATGCGTTGGCCCCCGGATCTGTGGAACAACACACTGACTGTGTGTTCCTAGCCATCGCCTGTCCGCCCCAGGGACACAGGCAGTGGGGCTGGGCTTACCTGGACTCCTCGGTCCCGTCCCAGAACACCACGGTGTACTCCTGGCCCTGGGAGGAGAAGAAGGACGACTGCTTCCCGCATGGCAGCATATACATGAATGTGGCAAACGTGGGGTCCTTCATCTGGTTCACCACCGACAAGGCCAGCGGCCGCTGAGAGAGAGAGCACCGGGCCCTGAGCACCTGCAGCCAGGTCAGTGCCAATCTGGCCCATGGGCTCTGTTGTCTCAAGCTGGGGGGCTGGGAGGCAAACCACTTGGGATGTCAGCTGGGAGTCAGATCACCATTGGCCACAGAACCTGGGGCTCAGCTGGTCAAATGTCCTCGGCCAAGGCCAGAGAACCCTGGGAAGTTCTTTACGCCCAGCATGCTATTGAGTCAGCTCTGAGTTGACGAGCGAATATTCCACCCTGTAGTTCTGGCATTTTTCAGAAACAAACAGGACCATAAAACAGGTGGAGTACAAGGAAGCCTCGCTCTGTGTCCACACCTTGCCAGTAGATTCTGTGTGTTCCTTCACGGAGGGACACATCCATTTTCTGCCCATGTATGGGGACTCAAGTGCTAGGCAGGGTTGCTACACTGTTTATACAAACACTAGGGCGGGAAGGAAGCTTGCCTTTCCTGAGAGCGGCTCACACAGAAACATGAGACTGAATGTGTGAGCTGTGGTCGGCAACTCTTGCAACAAGGTCACCCCAGCTGTTCTGTGTAATGGGGGCAGGCTGCTGTGTTGGCAGCCCTAGAAACCCTCAGCCCCCCGGGAAGCTCCCGGTTACCTTCTCCGGCTTCGTGTCCCAGCATTCCATCATGAGTGCCTGCAGCCGGTGGAACTGCACCTCCTCAGGCTGCCCCAGCACCGGGCGGATACCCTTGGACAACTTCTTGGCGATCTGCAGCTGGTGGTGGCCCAGAGCAGGGCGCTGCCCCGACAGCAGCTCGTATAGCACCATGCCATAGGAGAACATGTCTACCTGGGCGGAGACAAAAGCCACATCAGGTGCTCCTGGGGCCTGGTGGCCTTTGCAAGCTGGTGGGGAAGTGGGGGATGTTAGAACAGGCAGAAATGATGAGACCAGGAAAACACAGCTCTTCCTCGATACATGTACCAGTCTATCCACCAGACACTTTTTGTCCAAACCCGGAATGACCACCTCGCTATCTGTCCATTTCCTCCCTCCTCCTCTTTGCCCGTCTGCCTGTCCATCCTTCTGTCCACTAAGCACCCCCTGAGAACTCGGCTGTCAGCCACCGACGAAGGGCTCCAAGGACACCAGCATCCTCTACCCCGAGCGTCAAGACGAGGCGCTCTCCAGCAGGAGAGCCACACTGGACTGCAGAAAAGGAGGTGCGTCCCCCAGATCCCAGCGTGTCCTCTGCCCTGACTGGAATCATCTCCTACCAGAAAGGGGCTTCTTTAGGGGGCAGATTACTTTGTAGTAGGAGAGTTGCTGAAAGACACTGGAGAATTCTTGATGTGAATTTTCCTACTGTAACCTTGAAAAGGCTTCCGTTTTTTAAGGACCCGCCTGAACACCATCCCAAACAACAAGGAACTATGAACAAAGGGGCATTTCCACACCAGGTGATTAACTACAAGGCTGGCACGAGACACAGCAGGGGGACGAGTCCGCATCGTCTGGGTGCCCCATCTACCCAAGAGCTGTCCAGGGAGAAGGCTGGCCATGCAAGCTGTGGCCTGTGGAGCCCACGCCTGTCCTGCTGGGCATTCAATCTGGCCAGCACTAAAGGTGAGGTCTGGGGGACAGGTGTCACCCTTTACCACCCTGCTGAGTGTTCCTCGCCAGGCCCTGCAAGGCTGGTCCTATGTGCCCATTTTGCACACCTACCTGCAAGAGATTTGGGACCTGACCCAGGCCCATGTCTGTGCTGGATTCTGGGTCCCCTGCCCGTAGCCTCTGTGCTGTTTGTGAATCATGACGCGAGACTTCTCAAGCTGAGAAGTCCACCTTATCATGGGCAGACAGACACAGGGCTCAGAGCCCTACGGGTTGGGGCCAGCCCCTACTGCTGGGTGTGAGAGACAGGGCAGGGGCTGGGGGCTGCTGGGGTGCTGTCAGGACTGGCATGGGCTCGGCAGCTACCTTCTCATCGTACACAATGCGCGGCCTGATCTCTGGGGCCTGGTAGCCAGGAGTGCCCTCCACGCCCAGGGCGCCCTCGTGGAAGGACTGGCGCGAGATGCCGTAGTCCGACAGCTTGACGTTGACGGGGTCCTTGACGTCCAGGGACCACACCAGGATGTTGTCGGACTTGAGATCACAGAAGATGATGTTTTTCTTGTGCAGGTAGGCCAGGCCTGAGGCGATCTGGTAGGCTATTTTCTGGGTGAGCATGTGACCCAGGGGCATAAAGGAAGAGTCTTGCAAAGCAAAAAAAGAAAAAGAGGAACAACTTTCTAATTGGTTAACACTTTGGTTTGGATTAGGATAAAGTTCTCATTAGAGCAACAGTCTCCCTTGTCTTTCCCCGGAGACTCTATGTTCTCTGACGTAGGGGGAGGAGGCCTTAGCAAGGAGAAGCTGAGGTTTGGTCAGCACTGCCCTGCTGCCCTGCCCATTGCAGTCCTGCCTGGTAGTGGGCGTGGCTCCATCATCCACAGTGCAACAGGCCTAGCCTACCCTATTATGTATCTGATTCCATGACACTTTGAAAATTTTCCCAAAGGGGCCTCCCCAAGTCTCACACTAAAGTGCCCCTTTTGAATATGCAGTGAAGTCCATGCCAGACACCAGGCGCCAGGATCCCAAGTGGTACAAAAGATCGAGAACCTGTGGATTGCAGTTCTCTCTTAGGCTGGCCTGCACTTGTTTTGCAGGTGAGTAACCCTGGCATCTTGCTCTCTACTTTCATCTCTTCCCTGAAGCCCTTCTCGGTGGAGGTAAGAGCTGGGCCCAGCCAGGGGCCACTCCACGATATCAGCCATTCTCACTCTTGTTCAGCCCGGAGCCAGAAGGACAAAAACCAATGACCTTTGGTGAACCCTTACATAGGACAGAAGCCCTTGCTGGATCACGCTCCACTCCTTTCCAGGAAGAGGGCAAGGGTTCAAACTCTACAGATTCTACCTCAGGCCAAGGCTGCTGTGAAAGGTGTGATGGGGCAGGTGGAAGAAGTGATTGATGCTAACAGCGTTTCCTCCCTAGACACAGGGCCTTTGGCAGCAGTGCAAAGTTTAATGACTCATTTCTGGAATGGATGCACCTGACTGCAGGGTCCCCAAGCCTCACTAGCTGTGGATGTCTGGTGTGTCAAGTCAAAGGCCTTATTTACTTGTGGATAAGCCAGAGGCGCCTTGCTGTGATGGTGCCCTCTGGTAAAGGGGCGTGTGTTTATGCCCCTTTAGGGGAGTAAAGCAACTCCTGACCGTGGCAGAGAAGCAGAATTCAGAGCCAAATCCCTTCGGATTCAAAGTGCTTACAGCTGGTCGGCGTCCGGGACAGCCATGGGAGTTGGGCACGTCCAGGCCTGGCTAGCTACGGCACCCTCCTCCCCCCAGAGCCCCCGCACCTCTGGTGTTCTCGGACAGCAGCGTGTTGAGGCTGCTCAGCGGGGCGAGCTCCAGGGCAAAGCAGAGTGGGTGGATGCTGATGCCGATGAGCGACACGATGCAGGGGTGCTGCAGGGCGTGCAGCATGCTGGCCTCCTGCCGGAACTCTGAGAAGTTCCTCATGGCGTCCATGGCACGCAGGTGCCTCAGCATGGTGTCTGCCGGGACACAGCACAGCCATCAGTGGTCCATGGGGCATGAGGGGTGTGGTGGGGGCCACCAGGCCTGGCCAGGCAGATTCCAGAGGGCCAAAGTGGTAGGAGTCCCAAGAACATGTGGTGGGGCAGGGGCAAGATTTGCACTTTTAATTTCCATTGCTTTCAGTCTGGCCCTAGGGGCTGTTATTGTGGGCTACAAGAACTACTTCTGGATGGCAAGAATGGGGACACCTCCACCTGGAGGGCCAGTGGGCACTCAGGAGCTGCTGAAAGGTACAGGGTCACACATGACAATGGGTCTTGTGTGCCCACGTAAGAAGCAGGCTCTGCCTCTGGGGGCAGGGAGAGAAGGTCCTGGCACACTACCTGTGGCAGAAGTGGCTGAGACAGGTCCTACAGGTGAGGGGTGTACCTGAGGCCAAGCGTGCTGGGCAGAGAACAGGTGGAGATGGTAAGGACCATTCCTGCTCTCGAGGTCTATGTCTGGACAACAGGGAAGTCTGGACAACAGGGAAGTCTGCAGGCTTAGCTGGGCCCTCACAGCCAGCAGAAAGTTTCTTGGTGGGTGGTTTCTTGGGGTAGCCTGTGGCCCCATGCGCCCTCTCCCTTGCCCCACTCCATGTGTACCTGCAGCCTCAATTCCCCCTTCCCCCACCCCCTGCCGCCCTAAAGTGACCCAAAACTGGGATTTTTCTGAAGACAAAGGGCAGGCTGGATTGGGGCCTTGCTTACCTGCGGGGGCGCTGGCGAAGTTCTTGAACTTCTTGATCTGGAATCTCTTGACAGCCACGGGCTGGCCCTGGTACTGGGCCCGGTAGATGACAGTGCCGCTGCCACCTTGGCCCAAGGTGCTGCCTTGGTCCTCACTGTGCACCAGCTCGCTGTTCTCCAGGAAGAGTCTGCCATGCGTACACACACACACACACACACACACACACACACACACACACACACACACGGGGCTCAGCACAGGCCCACCCAGCCAAGGCAGGGGCAGGGTAGGGGGGATGTGGTGTGGACTCAAAGCCACCTGGGAAGTCAGACAGCCTGACTGGGGCCTGAGCAGGTTACCGAGGATCCCTATAGCCAGCGGCTAGTCTGGCTTCTAAGCCTGGCTTCAGGGAAGAGCTCTGCCAGGCCTTTGGTAACACTGCTGACCTCTGCTCGACTCCTTGGCCTTCTTATCCAAGCTGCCCAGGCCTGCAAGGACTTGGAGAAAGGCTCAGTCTTCTAGACACACTTAGAAGCAGGCTGGGCTGGCAATATCAGAATGCACTCAGTGCCTTGGGACTCCCGGAGCGGCACGTGAGGCTCAGGCCTCTGTGACTGCCCCTCCCCAGGCTCCCCAGGCCTGCCCCCTGGTCCTGGAAGGCAGGAACAGTGAAGATCCAGCATGAAGCAGAGGAAAGAGGGAGTGAGGAGGGGGTGGAGGAGAGTATGGGGGGTAAACAGACCTGATGCCCCCAGCCTTCAGGTCTTTCCACCTGCCCTGGACTCTGCTGTGGTCCATCTGGGTCCCTCGTCTGCACCTCAGGCAGAGGTGTAGCCTCCACTGGAGCCCTCCTGGCCCCCAGCTGCAGTGGCTCTCATGCCCTGCTGACCTGGCATTCCACCTCACTGCAACCCTCGTGGCTGGCCAGGAGTTGTTTGTTAATATGCACCTGTTTAGGAAGTGTGGTGCTCTGAGCCCCTTGGAAGGCCCCAGGGGAGCAAGGGGCACAGGACAGAGCAGCTCCAGGAAGCACACACTTCTGTAGGAGCCACAGGGCAGGGCTCTGCAGCAAGCCCTGGTCATGGGGTGTGACGCTCCCTGCTCCTCCTGCCCAGCACCTCTGCTTACGGTAGACTGGCTCACAAGGCCAATTCCCTCCCAGGCGACTTACTTTCCGAACTGTGCCATGGTGTAAGACTGGGTTCACACCAATACACAGATCTGGCCATTCAGATCCCACCTGGAACGTCCCTCAGCCTGGATTCAGCTGGGAGCCGTGGCATGAGACTGCCAACATAGAGGAAAACCTGGCCCTTGGCAGTGCCCAATCATCTCAGACCAGAGCTGGGGATCTTGGCCCTGTAGATCTGGGAGTGAGACAGGTGTCTGGCGAAGGATGGGAGGTGAACTGTCGCATCCCCAGGGCAGACACTGCGGGCACTGCCAAGACCCCATGGGAGGCCACTGCCTAGCAAGCAGCTCCAGGATCCACACAAGTGTATGCTTTGGGATTGCAGGCCTGGAGCCACAGGGCACCACTCGCCTGCTCGGAGCCACGTGAGGACGGGAGCGTCACTCAGGCCACGGGAAACTGGAACTAAGAGGTAAGGAAGTTGGTGCAAAGAATTCTGAATTCCATGCAGAAGTTTTACATAGTCTACATTTTCCAGACTGAAGAGCTCTAGGCTGCATGTATTTCAAAATTTTTTTCACTAAAATAATATATATTAATATATGACATGCAACAATATACCACATCATTAGCATATTAAATTGGATAGAGCAAGCTCCCATCCAGATTTACTTTCCAAATGCCTGCAGCAGCAGGGGCTGGGCCAGGCCACAGCTGGGACTCAGAAAGCCAGTCTGGTGTCCCAAACGCGGGTGGCAGGACCTAATCCTGGGGCCACTCCTGCCGCCCCGCAGCATCTGCACTGGCAGGAACCTGGAGTCGGGTATTGGACACATCGACTCCATGTTGCACATCTGTGTCTTAACCGTGAGGCCAAACACCCACACTTGAACTTATCTTTTCATTTCCATTTTCCAGGAACCCTGTGAAGCCTCATATTCTTAGAAGAAAAACAAAAACCAAAAAATAAAACAGAAAAACCAGATCAATGTAATTTTCCTGAAAGAAACCACACACAGCATTCCTCTGAATGCATAAACACCAGGACTTCATAACCTCAAAAAAAGCTGGGACATCCTGATGTCACACAGTCCCCAGGGACACTGGGTCATAAGCCTAGCTCCATGGACCACACAGGACAGAGGCTTTGTGGCCATTTCCTGTTGGAGGGAGCCACCAAGCATGGCCTGTTTCTTCCAGTAGTCTCTGATCAGAACTCACCGTTGGCTAGTGTGCACAGCCAACTCCCAGAACGGGGCGAGGGGCTCCATGTGCTCAGCTTCGGGGCTGCCCAGGAGCCAGTTTTGGTTAGGGAAGGCCAATGGGGCTGTGCTGATGAGTGGGCAAAGAGGAGCACATGCCCAGCAAGGCTTCACTGGCTAAGTGCTGTGCCCAGAGGGACCTTGAAGGCCTCAGACACAGAAAGACAATGGTCCCTGCGTGGCCCAGCTGCCCAAGAGGCACCCACATTTGGTGGGAAGCAATGGTTCAGCCCCATGCCTGGGCTGCCACACAGGGGCTTGGTGGGAAGGGTCTGATAGGATAGCACCCCTGCACAGCCCCCCAAGTCTGCCCCTGTATCCCAGCAGGGGCCATCAGTACACACCTGGCTGGGAAGTCGGTCATGAAGAGCTCAGGTACCAGCTCCTGGAGTGGCACGGGGACATCCGGGTGTCTGGGGCAGGTGATGAAGTCTCGCTCGATGGCCGCCAGCACACAGTCTTCTATGTCAAAGTACTGCACGCTGTCCAACCTCTCGCTTGGGTCTGGGTGCTGGCCCCAGGACAACTCGCACACAGGGCAGGGCACATATTGCTCCATGAGAGGGGTCCCATCGCTTTCGGTGGCCGTCAGGGCTGCACGGGGCCAGAGCAGGAGATGGTCCATGTGAGGCAGGTGCTGCTGATGCATAGCGGAGCAGCACCTGGACCTGGAACCAGGTGGACATTCACTGTCCCTTAGATCCCAAAGAGAGCCTGAGATTACATCATACTGGGACGCTTTTGATAACTCCTCAGCTATCCTCCAAAAGGCACCCCACTCTGGCTGCTGTCCGTGCTGGGGAGACTGAATAGGCTGCTGGGGAGTGCTAGGGAGGCTGCTGTCCGTGCTGGGGAGGCTGAATAGGCAGGGACAGGAGTCGAGAAAGTGGTCCTCATTCCCACCTGCACTGCTGGGCTCACCTGGGCTCCTGTGGGCTGGGTCTGAGCCACACCAAAACTTGGTCACAACTGGTTTGTAAGCAGTTGTTCTTAGGATTAGAAACACAAGGCCTGCAGTTACTACAATACAGTGGCAGGGAGAAATGAGTACAAATTTTGACAGGTAGAAGCCGGATGCTGGACTCAGGACCATGAGCAGCAGACTTCTCTTGCATGCCTCTGTTGGGAGGTTCCCTTGAGGCCAGCTAGACACCTGCTCTGTGTAGGTCCATGTGGAGGGTATCCTGCTGGCAGGTGCTCTGGCAGCTGGCCACTGCTGCTGGCTGCCCGGGGCCCTGTCTGAGACCCTCTGCTCAGTTAGATCCTTTCTGTCTCTAATGAGCTCACCTGTCAAAACCCACAGCACCTGCTGTAGGTGGGGGAAGGACCCTGGCTGATGGGAGCCAGGCACATGTTCACAAGCGCCAATGCATGCCCAGCACACAGCCAGGAGCCTCCTAGGTTGGCACAGCTCAGCCTCGGTTGCCCTCCCCACCAGTCCCTAAAGGACCTCAAGCTCTAGGGGAGAACAGCCCCAGGTGTGCTCCCTGGGGTTGCAGGAGGGTGTGTAGTGGAGATGGCCAGCTCCTGAGGTCGGAGCATGTAGGGGTGGTGCTGGGGTCCTGAACCTGCTCTACACTGCCCTCAGCCTGCAGAGATCCAGGGGCTGTGACCCCTTGCCCAAGGCCTCCTTCCTGCCGGCTGCTCTAGCGGTCATCTCCACCCCAGCCACAGCAAAACAAACAGCCCTCAGCAGCCTCACTTCAAAAGGTGTTTTCTTTGGGTGAGCTCTTAACAAAGACTTGGACCCAAAGGATCCAAGAAGGGCTGTGTGGGTGGGCAGGGGCTCCCTTCCCTTCCTGGCCCTGCACGGCAGGGGGCATGTTGGCCACTGTCCCCACTGAGTAAACAAGACCCATGTGAGCTGGCCCAGGACCATCTCCTTCACCATGTGTAGGTCTGGTGCCATTCCTTCCCGCTCCCTCCACACACTGTATAGCCCAAGGCCACGGCCTGGCTGCCTGCACCACCACCGGGCTCCCCATCTGTGCTGCTCAGAGCTGGACCCATCCCGCAGTCCCTTCTTTCCTGGGCTGCGTTTTTGCCCCCTTGAGGCAGCCCTGCCCGTGGGCTCTCACCGGGAAACCACTGGTCGATGAGGGAATTGACGTGGTCTGTGATAAAAGCCATGGCCGAGAAGTCGCGCATCTCTGACTGACAGATGATCTTGATGCCTCCGCTTTTCTTCTTCTTCCAGTTCACATCGGAGGATTCCACACTGAAACCCAGGGTGGCAGGGAAGGTGTGCGTCGTGACTGGGGCTGTGGGCGCCCAGGAAGACGATCCTGGGAGGACCTGAGCCCTGCAGGACTGTCAGGGGCCTGTGAGTTTAGCACAGCCTGGCCCTGCCGGGACAGAATGAGGGGAGCCCAGGCTGTGCTCCCCACCCTGGGTAGCACCTGACTGCTCTGCACTGGGGTGCTCACAGTGAGCTTTCTGGGGTGCAGAACAGCTGCTCTGGGGGTGATCTTCCCCTCCCCGTTCCACTCTTAGCTGGAGACAGTTCTTAAAAATGTCCAGCTGTGCATGCTTACCACCACTAAACCTGTTGCTGGGCCTCACTGGGCTAAACTCAGCAGGCACAGGGCGCCAGGTGCTGTTCTGTTTGCTCATGGTGTGGGACAGAGGCTGGGTGTTCAAGCATCCCACCCCATGCCCGTCTTCCTTCACCCCTGGCCTGCAGTAGGGGGTCAGGTTGCCCTGGTGGGCACCTCTCAAGGGCAGAAGTGTAGACACCCAGCGTGGAGGTGGACCCGGGCAGGTACATGCAGACTCCCCCACCTGAGGTAGCCTCCGTCGAAGGTGACCAGGAGCCCCTCCTGCCAGTAGATGGTCTGGTTACGCTTCACGCGGAATGTGCTGCCGCGGTTCCTCTGGTTCCCCGTGAAGCTGTAGACGGCCACTTTCCGGTTCCTGCTCTTCGTGTTGTTCTTCTTGTTCTCAAAGAGCTGCAAGGCAAAGACCCTGCCTGTGTGTTCTGGGCTCCTTGCTGGCCCTGGGCAGCACTCTGGGGCCAGGGAGGCCCCATTTTGATTGGTCACCAGCGTCGCCCACGCTTGCCCTCCTGCATGGCACCCCTGTGCGTGGCCAAGTCCCTGCTACTTCTGGTGGTGCCTGATGCTTTGGCTACACATCCCCACTCTGCCCCCCAAAGTTTGAAAATAATCTTTATGCTAATAAATAAATAAAAAATATCCTCCTTGAATTTACAAGCAAAACTGTATGCTGAAAAATGTGGAGAAGAATGCCACCTGGGAGAGAACAAAATGTCCAGTTTGAAATCACATGGATTGGTTATTAGGATGCTGGCAGTCTGCTCCAGGAATTTATACACACACATATATGTATATGTTTAAAAAACAGCCATAACCAGATTTTATTTCCTAGCTTTGTATACTTTTAAAAACGCCACTTAGGAAGTTGGCATTGTGGCACAGCAGGTAAAGTTGCCACCTTCAATGCCTGCATCCCAAATGGATGTTAACTGCTGTCCCTGTCACTCCAGTTCTGATCCAGCTCCCTGTTGGCTCTCAGGGGAAAGCAGCAGAGGATGGCGCAAGTGCTTGGGCCCTGCACCCAGGTGGGAGACCTACACGAAGCTCCTGGCTCCTTGGCCTCAGACTGGCCCAGCTCTGGCCATTGTGGACATTTGGGTGGCGGGGGGTGAACCAGTAGGCGGAAGATTTCTGTCTCCCTCTCTCTGTAACTATTGCAAACGAATAAATAAGTCTCTGTCAACAATATCAGAAACAATAACAAAAACCCTCTGATCCTGTGCCACTAAGAACCCGTGTAAGATTTATTTTTCCAAAATGTACTAGTTTTGTTAAGTATGGTAATTTTCAGAATCACTCCCTTCTCTTGGACACTTAAGTTGGTTCTAGCTGCTCGGCTCCCTGCATTTGACTCTGACTTTCCGGTCCAGACGCTCACTGGCCAGCCACCCCCTCCCTAGCTCACATGCTGAGTGGTGGGGTTACTGAACTGAAAGGTGTGACGGTGGCAAGGCGCTGGATTCTCATGCAGAAATCACCCTCCAAAACATCGAGTCTGTGCCTGCACAGGAGGACACAGGGGCCGTGTGCACGAGGCTGGGCTTGTGCCTCTGGGACCGGCTCACCTTTGATGAGCTAAGTTTCCCAATCCCTCTCTTGGGTCAGCTTGCTTGCCTCCCAGCCAGCTGTGGCCCCTGAGCTCAGCCTCCCACGGCACTGACTGCCCGCTGGTGCTTCTGGCCTCCCACATGGAACACAGCAGGATGTGGAGATCAAAGACAGCACAGAGACAGCACGGGCGAGCCAGCGCCCACGTCCCTGCTTTTCCTCGGGGTACTCTCCTGGTACTACGAACAAACTCCCCTCCCCGCCCACTATGTTCTGGCATTTATTTTTCTTGCCGTTTGAGTAAAATAGGAGGACCTAAGAATATCCTGATGAAGTCAAGAAACTAATCCAACGAGGGTCTTCTAATTAGAAGGTAGCAAAGATAACTCTGGAAGAGTTCAATGTCAGGAACTCAACAGGCAGTAGAGACCCCTGGAGGGCTTGTGGGCACCTGCCCCCACACCTCCCCATCCCAGAGGTTTGGAGGGAGCACATCTGGGGTGGAGCCTGAGAATGTACAATCTGCGTGTGTTTCCAGGTGAGGTTGGCTGTTGCCTTGAGAGCTTCATACAAGAACCCCTGCTGTAGGCAACTGTCTTGCAGGAGATGTGTGCTGGACAAACTGTGAGCCACAACCAGAGGCTCTGATTCATGTGCTCTGTGGAGTGGCGCGTGTCTGCCAGAACCGCCTCCTCCCCTGCCATAGCCAAGCGGGGTGCACAGGTTGGCTGGCAGAACCCAGCCTCTGAAGTCATGCTCTCCCAGCGTGGTGGCCAGGAGATGGTCAGAGATGGCAGCTCTTGGTCCCAGTGCTCCCCGGCCCCACTGCTGAGTCAGTACCTCTGGGAGCACTACTGCATGGGACAGCAGGCTGTGTTCTTGTAGGAAACACCCTCCAGCTGGGGGAAGGTGAGGGACATTGAGGACTCCTCAGCTAGAGGGGTACTGGCTCAGGAAGCATGGGATGATTCCCAGGGGTGGTGCTGGCCTTGCTGCCCAGCCTGAGGTCAATGGCCTCGCTGCACAACCTTTTACTGCAGTTCATCTTCCCTCCCTTGCCGGCCGTCCCTGCAGACCCCGCCCGCAGTTACCTGCAGGTCCATCTCAGCCAAGCTGATCAGCATCCGTGCGATGAATCTCTGCCAGAAGCCGACGGGGACGAAGCTCATCTTGAACACCCTCTGGATGGTGTTGGCCGCGGGGTGCCGCAGGCCATGGGTGTCCAGGCCTGGCTTGGACGGAAGCAGGTGCGGGAGGAGGTAGCTGAAACACGCGAAGGACCCAAGGGGCTGAGTTGTGGGGCCAGGACCTTTGCCTGCATTCTGGCCTGTGGGTCAGCACTGCTTTCACATCCGGGGCCCTCTCATTTGCCCCTTGGAGAAAAATGGAGATGGGCCTCCATGTCCTGGGGTTCTAGCACGGAGTTTACAACAAGGCTAAGGGCAGACATGAGCGCCTCTGTGGTCACACGAGTGGGCGTGGATGCTCCCCACCATGGTGCCCAGGGATTGCTTCACAATGATGCTGGTTGGTGAAGGACACAGCTGCACAGTTCTAAGGGGGTCACAGCGAGGCCACCAGGCTTCGGGGCCATTTGTTTTTCTTGGCTGGCTAAGGGAACAGAATTGCCTTGCAAGTTAGAACAAAGCTATTTGGCACACAGGAGGTATGGTTTATGAGCACCCGCCTGGTCATCGTAAAAATCTGCGTCACTATGTGAGGGAGCTGTCTGCTTCACCGAGTGTCCCTCCCAGCATGCGTCTGGAAACCAGCAGTACCTAGGTGCTGTCGAGCTGTGGGGACAGGCGCTGGTGACCACAGGTGGTCCGAACACCTGCTGACAGACCCTGGGCCCTTTGTTAAAGGGTCTGTATTCAACTCTTCTAATTCCCTTGGGCTAAATCCATGTTAAGTCCAGGGAGGGTTCTTAGAACTTTCTAAAAGAGGTTCCCATAAAACACTTGCCACTTACCCTTCCAAATCTGTGTGTTTCTTATCTTTGAATTTAACTAAACTTGGATTAATACTTTGGGAAAAAGAAAGCGCCTCTATAACTGAACACATACCATCTTAATCACTGTCTAGCCACTATTTATGCAACATTCACATTGTATCAAGTATCATAAGACCACTGTCTAGCCACAGTTTAAGTAGCATTTACATTGTATCAAGTAGCCTCACTTAGAGGCTGATTCCAAGCAGAAGGGGATGGTGTATGGGTCATGGGTCATACGCACATTCTAGGCCATTTTCTGTCAGGGACGTGAGCCTCCGTGGATGGAGGGCCCCACAGGCAGAGCTGAACCCGATTCTCTACGGTTACCAAGGGAGACCGCGAGGGATGCTCAGACCCATACCTGGACTGGGACTCATGTGCCCTGGTTCTTGTGTGCATGGAAAACAGAAAGTACAATGCCCACGGGGACAGGTGAGGAAGCCCACTGGGACAGGTGAGGATGCTCACGGGGACAGGTGAGGATGCCCACTGGGACAGGTGAGGATGCCCACTGGGACAGGTGAGGATGCTCACGGGGACAGGTGAGGATGCCCATGGGGACAGGTGAGGATGCCCAGGTGGCAAAGTCCTGGGTCCACTTCAGGTCTTGTGGGGAAAGGCCGATGCCTCCTCCCCATCCCAGCTCTCTTCCTCCTACGAGCCTGCTCTAATCCCTCAACATTCCTCCCCAGAGAATATGGTCATCTCCTGCTTCCCAGCTGTGTCAGCCTCAGCCTGGCTCTCTCACCTCACCCCCTCATGCTGTCATGTCCTTGGATGTGGCTTCAAAGAACAAAGCCTGGGATCCCTCATTCAGTCCCCATTTCCCCAGCACAGACAGATGCCTGGGTTGCTTTGGGAAGGCAGAGATGATCCAGAAGCCAGCCTATGAAACCAGAATATTCCAGCTCTGCCTGACCATGGATGCCAACGCTCTAGAGCAGCAGAGCCCCTGGCAAGACCCCTGCACCTGCTGGGAACAAGTTGAGTCAGGGATGACCATCCCAGGGGAGCAGCAGGGAGCAGGGCAACTAGTCACATGTTTGCTGAATCGAAGGACAGAAACCTCAGGCCAAGGTGTGATGTCCACCCCGGGGAGCCGGCTGACGCCACCACCAGGGTGGCCTCAGACAGACACTGGCATCCTGGAGGAGAGTGGAAAGGAAGCAGTTTACATCGCAGCATTGAAGGTTACTGCGGGCAGCGGTTTGATTCCCAGCTACTCCACTTTTGATGCTGCTCTCTGCTAATGGCCTGGGAGAGCAGTGGAAGATGGCCGGAGTACTTGGGTCCCTACACTCATGTTGAAGACCTGGATTAAGCTCCAGGTTTCAGCCTGGCCCAGTCCTGGCCACTGCAGCTCTCTGAGGAGTGAACCAGTGGATGGAGGATCTCTTTCTCTTTTTCTTTCTGTCTCTCCCTCTCTCTCTGTAACTCAGACTTTCAAATAAATAAATGCCTCTTTTTAAAAAAAATCAACTTACCACAATGGATACAAAATTAAACCCCAAATTTGAGTAAGCTATTAAGCAGACTGAATTTGCAATGAAAACACCTTCCTACAGAGAATGACTCTGCACTCAGACCATTAGAGGATGAATCCCATCTAAAAGTTAAGGGAGGTGGAGTATGACTCTTACAAAAACCGAAAATAGATAAAAAGGAAATGTTCAGCTTTCTTTTTTTTTGGGAGTCTGTAGATGTATGATAACCCACAGAAACCTTTCAAGAAAGGGTAGACCAATATCCTTCATGAAAACAAGTGTCGAAATTCTCAGATGAAATATGAGCTCCTGAAACTGGAAATATATAAAAACAGTAAATCATGATGCACTGATATTGATTTCTAGAACACAAAGTTGGTTTAACTTCTGAAAACCTCAATGACATGAAAAAGATCAGAGAATTATCTTAGTAGCGACAGAACAAGCACTTTTCTGGGATTAAATTCAGTGTCTGCTCATGATTAAAATGTTCAACAAGCAAGGGAGAAAATGGAACATTCTCAATTTGACCAAGCACGACCATAAATCTACTGCCAACACACGGCACAGAGCAGTTCTGGCTGCGGGCTTCCCGGAGGCGGCGGGCGAGCTCAGGGTGTGTTCTGATGTTGCTGCTGACGCCTTTGTGAGAGGCCTGAGTCAGTGCAATGAGGCACCCAAGGATGAGAAAAGGAAGAAGTGAAAGCATTTCACTTGTGGCAGGCCGAGGTTTATGTAGAAGAATCCTGAGTGAGCTCCACAAATCCACCAGGGCCAGGAAATGAACTGGGGGAGGCCTCCAGAAATAAGGGAAATATTTTAAACCAACTTATTTCTGGACACCAGAAATAAACAGTAGCCACTACACAAGATGTGTCACTCAACTTAGCCAAGAATCCGGATTATGGAGGGATAAACTGAACAGAATATGTGCAAAACCTGTAACCAAAAGTAGCAAAACATGGGGCAGAGATGGCTTGGGGAGATCCAAGGAAACCGAGAGATAGTCCAGGGTCCCGCGGGGAGGTCCGACATGGCTCAGGGTCAGCTCCCTCTGAGCTCACTGGTGTACGGATCCAATGCAATCCTCTTTTAAAAGGCTGATGTATTTATCAGAGTTACAGAGAGAGAAAGACAGAATCTTCCACCCAAATGGCCGCAATGGCCAGGGCTGGGCCAGGCTGCAGCCAGGAGCCAGGGGTTTCATCTAGGTTTCCCACATGGGTGCAGGGAAACAAACATGTCAGTCATCTTTCACTGTTTTTTTAAGATCATGAACAGACAGCAGGAGTGAGAGTCTAGCAGATGGGAATCGAACTGGTGACCATATGGGATCACAGAGGGTGTAACCTGCTATGCCACAACACTGGCCACAATCCAACGTAACCCAAAGAAAAATCTGTCTTCTCTTTTTGTGATAGAAACAAGTGAAGTGATTCTAAAACTTGGGTGGACATACAAAGGGTCTAGAAGAGTCAACAACAATCATGAGATGGAAGTGAAGGGTGCCAGGGGCTGAAAAACGAGACCACAGAGCCAGGTTTGTATCCCTACAGGCATGAATGTCACCTATTAAGGCAAGGGAGGGCTCGGAGGCGACAATGTAAGCATGGTGAGGTGGTGACGACTATGGATTATCTGGCTGCACCCTAAATCAACCACAGGTGTTCTCGTAAGGGGGTGGGAGCAGGTGGAGATCTGGTGTGCCCGAAACAGGAAATGTGACCTTGGCTTTGGAGATGGACTTGGGGGCCATGGGCCAAGGACGGGGGCTGCAAGAGCTGCCAAAGACTGGAAATGAGTTCTTCCCTAGACCTCTACTGGGAGGGGGATCTTGCTGTTATCTGGGTTTGGAACCTGCACACTGATTCTGGCCTTCCGACCTTCCAAATCCAGAACATGAATGTGTGCTGCCTTAGGACTCCAAGTCCATGGCCATTTATTCCAGCAGCCACGGAGTTCAGCCCATTAAAGCTCTAATAGTACAGCTGGGTGCTGGCCAGGATGGACACACATGGATTGGTAGAACAAGAAGTTCCAGAAACAAACTGGCACAGGCAACTTCTGCTAAAGGGACTGAGGTATTTCATCAGAGGAAAAGGCAAGGAAGTCACTCCCCTCCACCCTCCCCCCACAAAAAAAGGTTCTGGAACAACTGGGTAAACGGGAGGGGAAAAAATGGCCTTGACTTCCACTCCACATTCTATAAAAAACTAACTTGGCATGAATTGTGGGTCCTGAAGTCAAAACTAAACTGAAAAACTTTTTCAAAACCAAGTGAGAGCCTGAAGATCCGGGCATAAACCAGCGTTGTGACACAGTGGGTCAAGCTCCACATCAGAGTGCTGCTCCACTTCGGACCCAGACTCCTGCTGATGTTCCGAAGGAGGCAGCTGATGGAGGCTCCGGTCCCCGGCTTCAGCCTCGCCCAGATCTGGCTGCTACTGTCGTTTAGGCAGTGAGCCACAAGTGGATGAGAGAGTCTTCCTCTTTGTTGCTCTGCCTTTCAAATCAATCAAGATTTCTTAAAAGCAACAGTCGTAAAATAAGTTATATCTCATTAATATAAAGGAAGTCAAAGGTGGGGAGAAAATTTGCGAATCACATGTCTGAGAAAGAGTTTGTATCCAGAAGATATAAACAACCATAAATAAATTTAAAAGATGATCTAAAATAGGCACTTCACGGCCACTGAGCTAACACATTTGACCTTGTTGGTCCTGGAGAAGATGCAAATGAAGCTACCATGAGATACCGTGATATACCCACGGGAACAGCTGAGACCAGAAAGATCTACAAGCAGCAAAAGTCGGAAAGGAAATAGCGTGACAAGAGGGTAGCCACCACTTGTGATACTGGCATCCCATGGCAGAGTGTCGGCCAACTGCTCAGCTCCTATCACAGCTTGCCGCTAGCGCACTGGGAAGGTAGCAGGTGGAGGCTCCCAAGAGCCTGAGCTCCTGAGAGCCATATGGGGGAGCTGAGCAGAGAGATGCCCAGTTCCTTGCCCAGACCTGAAACTAACCAATGGATGGGACTTCTCTATTTCACTCTCTCTGACTCTCACTGTGCCTTTGAAAAGATAAATAAATCTTTTAGGAAAAAAACAGACTTTCCACAGCAGCTGTTACGTATAAAGGCCCAGAGCTGGAAACAATCCAAAGATCCACAGGCCAGCTGTGGGGAAGCCACAGCAGGACTGTGACTCAGGAATGAGTAGGGAACCCCCAGACACACAAGGCCCAGAGCACCCCAGATGCACCACGCTGAGTGTGAGAAGCTGTTGCAGACTCACTGTGTGGTCCTGAAGCTAGGGACAATGCAGGCTGTGGGGGCAGGGCCAGCCTGGGAGAAAGGGGCGTGGCCTCGGAGAGTGTGCAGTGTCCTGGGGCCAGGGGAATGTTCTATGTCTTGGGGACGCAGTTGGAGGACATGTGCTTGGCTATGTTGCTTGGGACGCTGGGGATCTGTGCCTGTCATTACAAATCAGTGTCCCCCCCACTAAGCAAGAGTGGCAGCTGTGAGCAGTACAGCGAGGAAAGGGCTGGCCAGCAGTGCAATATCCCAGGGTGGGGCAGGGGCCACATGGTGGAGGGCAGAGGTGAGGGAGGGGAGCAGCAGGCAGGGCTCTGGGACACGCTGAACCGAGGGCTGAGCAGGCCTTCTGGACAGGGGCTACTCGGAAGCTCAGGCCTGAAGCCCAGAGGGTGGAAGTCTGGATACTTTCTAGAAGGGGCTAGGGCATCATCATGGTGGCTGACACAACAGCTGGAACCCAGCGCCGTTGAAACAGAGCCTGCCGGGAGGACACTGGAGACATGGGGTAGCCAAGGACCTGACCACCTTGGGAGTTCAGCAGAGGACAGGGATGGGCAACCAGGAGTGGCCAGCAGTTGGCTTGGTGGCCAATAGGGGCAGAAGGAGGCTGCGGAGGATGATAGCTGGAGAGCGGAATGCTCGGGGAGGAAGGGCAGGAGGAGGATTGCTTGTGACTTAGGTCCGGAGAGAATGGGCACTGAGGTGGCCCAGACAGAGTCTACACGGCTGCTAGCAGCATTTGCCCCGGGAGCAGGTGAACAGGTGCTCCCAGGACAGGGTCACCGTGGCCCACACCTGGAAGCAGGTGCATCACCGCCACTCCGGCACATGCCATTCTGAGTGCAAAGCGGGCCTTCTGGGAGGGGTCATTCAGAAGCTCAGGCCTGAAGCCTGGGGGACAGCCTCTGTTGGAAATCTGACACTTTCCAGAAGTGGCTGGGGCATCACGGGGGCTGACACAATGGCTGGGGCCAAGATTAACCACTATAACCAAAACCTTCACATCACTTTAATGCCATCCTTGCATGTTTTCCTATACCTGTTCACTAAATGGCTTTCTTTCAACCTTTTAATGAGAGAAGCCCAAGGCGCAGAAGGGAGAGGCCAGCCATGATTAGCATCCTGCTGCCTTGGCCATATGGGCCCTTGCTCCCCAAGCACTGGCTGACCCTGGTGGGCGGCGGTGGCACCTCACTTGGGCCACCGTGGCCCCGGATCTGGACTTCCTGCCTGCAGGGGGCAGCTTGCCCAGCCCAGTCCCTTCCTCACCTGTCGTTGGCGACGGGCAGGGCAATCTCGAACTTGGCCAGGAACTGGAAGTACTGCTCCTCAGTGTGCTGGGTGAAGCCCGTCCCCACCAGGAGCATCCGCAGGTCCTCGGCACGGATCACCCCATTCTTGGCCACTGAGCGGGAGCCCTTGATGTTGAAGATCCGCTGCAGACACTCGGACAGCCAGATGGGGTCGAGGAAGTAGAGGTTGCGCAGGCCGTGGCTGGTGTCGGGAAAGTGCAGCAGCGTGCCGGTTTCGATGAGGAAGCTGATGGCTGTGGAGGAGGCAGGAGGAATTAACATCACTCAGAGGGCCAGAGGGGTTGCAGAGGGACTTCCTTCTGGGGCACTGACTTCCTGGGCCAGTGCTGACATACTGGATCCTATAGCCTGGTCTGCAGCCACAGCAACTCTTCCCTGATGGCCCTTGAACCTGAGGCAGTGGCCAGCCTTGGAGTCCACAGACTGCCTTTGCAGAATTACCTGCCTGTTGAAAAACCCAGCACATGAGGCACTTCCGCAAGCATCTGCCGATGCGGGCAGAGCTGTCACACTGGGAGCAGGTGCCCAGCCAGGCTGGGCAAAGCGCTCGCATCCAGCTCTCAGGTATGCCCATCCTGTGTGCCAGCTGCTGAGTGTCACAGCTTTGGAATTCCTGCACCTTTTGCGGCCATGTGAGATGGGCCCACGCACATGTGGTATGCCCTGGACAGCAAGCACATGACAGAACTGCTGGCCACAGATGCAACGGATCGGCTAAGGTGGTCTCTGAGCAGAAATGCACTTAACAAGGTGCACGCCCGCCACTTGATGACAATGCTGTGACCACAGAGCCGAATCTTGCGCCTCCCCATGAGCACTGACTTGGGGCTTGCTAAGGCACAGGTGGCAGTGAGGAAACGGGTTGGCAGCCAAGCAATAGGAGCCACTGGCAAAGACAGGAGCAGGTGTCCTGGGCTCATCTGACAGTGGTCACCAGCACTGCCTAGAGCAGGTGTCTGCGGGCTTTCTCCATGGAGGGAGCGATGATGGAGGGAGGCTGGGGGAGGCCGTTAGGCCGGCTACCCTGCTGTGCTGAAGGCCAAGCTAGGCCTGGGAGTGTGGAAGGTTCTATTTCCCCCAGGTACCCTTCCCTCTGCCCGGCCTTCCCGGCTGGGGAGGGGGTGCCCCATGCCTGTACATACCGGACTGAAGGTCCTCATAATCCTTGATGTCATTGTCGGGTGTCTGTTCCACCAGCTGCTCCAGCTGCCTGTCCGTCAGGTACTGCACATCATCGGCCTGGCTGCGCCGCTGCTGCTCCGCCAGCACAGCCTCCTGTAGGCTCAGGTAACTCCTGGGGATCTGTGGACGGGTGGGGCCTTAGGACCAGGGTGGGGGATGTGTCAGCCTGCCCCCTCCCCAGGGAGGGGATGCCCCGGGCAGCCAGGCACCCACCAGCCTCCCTGCCAGCCGCTGGCAGCCGATGGTGCTGCCTACGTCCTTCATGTTACACGTGACGTGGAAGATGAGCTGCCGCAGCCCTTCGTGGCCTTCCAGGCTCTTACAGGAGATCTCACTGTGTGTGCAAAGGGGGCCGAGCTGCCGCGGCATGCCTAGGCTCGCCTGGCTCGCGAGCCCCTGGCTTCTCCCTCTCCCCAGAGGCCTGCAGTCAGCACGGGCATTAGTCTGTAGAATTCACTGAAGACAGTGCTGGGGCCTGGCCTGTGTGTTGCTTTGTATGCCCATTTCACAGAGGTGAAACCTGATCCCCAAGGACATGAGCTGGGCAGGAGGAGTGGACCCAAGCTGGCATTCCTGTTACCCAGAACCCACAGTGGCACATGCTGCCTTCTGAGCCAGGCTGGCCCTCGCGCTCCAGCCAGAGGGAGGAGGCCCCAGTGGCACTGCAGGAACAATCACCTGGGTCTCACTGGAGAGACTTAACTCTCTCAGTCGCATCAGCTGCAAAGTGGGCACAGTGAGTCCCCAGCCTGCAGGGCGGCTGGGAGGGCCACCTGCACAGGATGAGAAGGGTGACCAGTTCAGTGCCACCTGCACTGGCTCATCCCCCTCAGCTGACAACCCCTCCCCTCAGCACTCCTCACTCCGGGCTCTGTTCTGACCCACCCACAGCACGGAGGTGTTCCAGCTCACATCTCCTAGTCTCAGGGGAGCAGTACCCTCTCAGTACTGACCATGGAGGGAGGTCCCGGCGGAAGGCACAGAGGGGGTGCCCTGCCCTGCCCAGGGCCTGGTCTGCTCTGGTGGCCCTGCAGGACCCGGGCAGCTCCTGGGCAGATGGACAGAGGGGGCGGTGCCACTCACTGCAAGTGCTTAAAGGTGATGTCCGGGAAGCCGGTGGCCCTGGAGCCGGCAGGGGAGCGGCAGAGTGCCAGCACGTAGGCACGCAGCGTCGCGATCCTCTCCACACGGAACTTGGCTTCGATCAGGTCCAGGTGCGTGCCCACCACCAGCACCACTGCGTTGGGGGCCTTGGCCTAAGAGCAGACCAGGGATGAGACCTGCCTAGCTGTGCTGCCCCTGTCCTGGGGCCGGACTTGCACTGAAGGGTGCTGGAGCTGGAAGGGCCTAATGGGGGCACTAGGGCTCTGATCCTGAGACATTATAACACATTCTAGGATATTCTGGCAGCTTCTCAGGCCAGCACCTGCTAAGCCTGCTGGGAGGGAAACCTTGCCCCCTGTGGCATCTTAGTGTGGGGACTCACCAGGCTCCACAGAGGTGCCATCAGGCTCCACAGAGGTGCCAGGAGAGGGGCTGCAAATGCCTCGCTGTGATAGAACAGCTGGGCCATTATCCCAGACTTTCATGAGAGCCTGCCTGGCACGCGGCCTTGTTCCTCAGAGAGGTGAGTAGAGGGCCGGCGGTATCCCCTCACCTCGATGTTGAGCAGCCAGAACTGGAGGTTGGCCACGGCTTCCTCCCCCAGCGCCAGGTTCCAGACAACCACGTACAGGGCCTTGTCCGTGAAGAAACACTGGTTGACGGTGGCCATGCTGGCTGGGCCCCCAATGTCCCAGACATTGAACTCTATGGACTCCACCTACTTGAGCAACAAGGAGGCAACAGGTGGGCGCCTTACACACCGGGGTCTCGGGGAGCCCTCAGTGAGATGAGCTGAGAGCTGTACCTGCCCAGCATGGGCCTGTAGGCCTGAGTCGACGCCATCATACAGAGCATGGGGGCCCAGCCACGTAGCAGCAGGAGGGGTCCCTGCTCGGGCTGGGGTGGCTGGACCTCCTGTTGCCTGAGCAGGGGCTGGGCCCTGGCAGGGAGGGGTACCGGCGGCGCAGTGGAGGGCATTGTGCAGTTCTATATGCTACCCACGAGTGAGCGGTCTTGCTCTGACATTCTGGCTCACACCCAGGCCTGGCCCATCAAGGCTGCCAGCAAAGTCTCTCCTGGCTCCCCTCCCTCTCCCCGACCTGGGAAGCACACACAGGCGAGCTGTGGGCTGCCGGGAAAGGCCATGTCAACGGCGGTTTGTCCTGCGGCCCATGAGGTCAGGCTCTGGCCTGGGAAGCGGAGCCCACACCGACTTTGGAGCCAGGAGTCATTTCCGTGAGGCGAGGCGGCGGCCGTGTGGGCCTCCGACAACACAGTCCGCGGACCTGGCCTTGTGCGAGGAAGAAAAAGGACAGCTGTTGTCAGCTGGCCGGCGGCCAGCCACCCAGGGAGCTGCGGGCAGGAAGGAAGCGGCAGGAGATACAGAAATACTGATTCACCTCTTGGGCTGACTGCCCCCCTGCCACCCCACCCCCCTGCCGTCCCTGCTCAGCCCGATGGCTCACGGGCAAAGCTAAGCGAAGGCACAGACTCGGGCCACGCTGGACGGGCTTCAGACAGGAGCTAGCTGCAATCTCTCTGGGGTGGGTGGGGGTGGGGCTGCAGCTGAAGCCGGCCTGGCTTCCTGTGTTGGACAAGCCTCAGCATCTGGGTTAGAACAGCACGGGCAGCTCCTGGCTCTCGCTGCAGGGGCAGCTCTGCCTCTGGCTGCTGGTGGACAGCACCATGACCTTGCACCTGCGACAACAGCGTCACGGCCAGAAGCAGCAGCTCCGAGCTCCAAGCCGGAGCCCACGCAGGGCAGTCACCGGTGTACCATACACAGGCTCTTCTCGCCTCCAAAAGCCTTAGTTTCCCTTCACCTGCTGCTGGATGTGAAAGGGGCCGACTCATGAGGCTGGGTGAGGGGTCGCTGTGAGTAGGAGGGCTTTGGCAAGACATTCGTGAGAAACTCAGGCATGGATCTCAGCCCTTTCTGACGGGGGAGGGGCACTAGAGCAAACTTCCCACGCCATTTCCTATGAACTTATTGAAAGATGCTTCTCGCCTTATCAACGGGACTTTTCCGAACTTGGGTTGGAAGCAGGCTCAGGAAGACAACATCGTTCCTGGGGGGGGGGGTGCCTCTCAGGCAGACGTCCAATCAGTCCTCAGCCCCGAGCAGCCGTCTCTCCAAGACACCTCAATCCTGAATCCTCGGGACTGGGGACTGGTGAGATCTGAGTGTGGCTGGCTAGCTCTCGAAGCTCCCCAAGGCAGTGCAAGGAGGCAGGCAGGGCTAATAAACATAGGCCCCTAGCCGGACTTCATGGTAACAGGAAGTGGGCTAGGTCATGTGAAGCAACCATCTGCTGCCCTTGGCAGAAGCCCGTTTCCAGGAGCACCTGGCAGCCCCTGTGAACTCCCTGGGCCTGGGACAGGGTGCCCATGCCCACCCAACAAAACGCTGGGCTGTCTGGGGAGGAGGGAGAAGAGCCCTCCGTCCACAGCCCACCACAGCCCCGTGGCCCACCCCACTCCCTGCCACCCGTGGGGACTCTGCACACCAACCATCCTTGACCTTGGCTCTGCAGCCCGCTGGCCTCTGGAGCTCCCATTTGGTGGTCCTGATGGTGGCCTCGCTGGGCACCACCTGGGGGGCCCTTCCCGTCTGCAAGATCTCCAGGAGGGTGGACTTGCCCTGGCGTGGGGGACCCACGATGATCATCTTCATTAGCTTGCACCTCTCCGCCTTCCGCAGCTGGGCACGCAGGTAGGACAGCACGGCCTTGGGGCCTGTGCAAATCAGAGAGGGCGAGGACAGGTTCACCGCTGACACACACTCTCTTCTCCTGGTGGACCACGCCCCACTGCGAAGGCACAACCTCCGTGCTCTCACGGGGACGGCCAAGGGAGACACTGAGGGTGGGCAGAGGCCAGACGGGATGTAGAAGGACATGGTCCTTGCTGCCCACGAGGCCGGACACTGATGAGTCCATCACCATCAGCAGAATGACACCTGCCAACTGTCAGCCGAGGGACTGTCTTAGAGCATCTTCCCAGACCCCAAACAGAACTGGGTTGCCTGTCATTCCCAGCCCCAGAACCCGGCAGGTGGCCCCGAGTCCCTGTCCCACCCACAGGGGGCCGCAGGTACCCTACCTTCCTTCCTGATGTCCGCAGGCACATTGCTGATGTGCAGGTCCTCAATGTCCAGTTGCCAGAGGTTGCTCAGCTGCCCCAGCTCCGCGGGGAGCTCCCGGAGGCCAGGGTTGCTGAGGACCCACAGAGGTGTGAGCCGACACGTGTGCAGTTCCCGCCAGCCTCCCAGAGTCCGTGTCCAGCTCACACCGTGGGCCCAGGCTTCCAGCATCCCTTCAAGTCCAAAACCTTTCTTCCCTGGACAGTCATGGCAGCTCTGTCTCCCACAGACCCCCACAGCTTAGGTTTGGGACCCTTTCCTTTTATTACCCCCACCCCAGACAGTGCCACTGCCTCTTCTTGGGAGGAAGTCTGCCACTTTCATAGGGTGGCATTTCACAGTGTCATCAAGCCAGGTCTGGCAGGATGTGGCACACGGCGGGCGGGAGCTCAGTGGACGATAAGACGGACGGCTGAGGACACACGCCTCCTCCTCACCCAGGCAAGCAGCACACACACATGTTGCTGCCGTGTGGTCCCTGGCCCCTCTCCTCAACCTTCTGCAGCCACCCTGGACTTGAAAAACTCCACAGCTGCATCTTGGGAGGCAGATGGCTCTTCCCGGCCTGGCACCCTGTCCCTGGGTGGCTTGCCCTCATGGTCCGTGCACTTACTTGCCCAAGTAGAGCTCGGATAAGCTCTTTAGCAGGCAGACAGATGGGGGCACAGCGTCTAGCTGGTTGTCGTTCAGGCAAAGCACTTCCAGCGACTCGCTCAGGAAGGCTGGGAACTCCGGTACGCAAGCTGCAGTGAGAGGCCAGGGTGGACTGTGTGTGGTGCTGACCCAGCCTGGTTATCCCAAAGCAGGGGCCAGCGGAATGGGCACAGGGCTGTGACCTCCGGAGGCGTCTCCGCAAAGCTGTTTGCTTCTCACCCCCCAGCAATTGCAACATCACAGGGATTGTCACGTACACACACACACACGTGACTAAGTGTCACAAAAGGGGGTGCGCAGGGCTCACCCACCGGAGTAAAACGACACCCAGCCCCCACAAAGTAGGGGCAGGGTACACGGACCAGGGCACAGCCTTCCAGAAGCGCTACCCATAAACCGAAAAGCAAGGTGCACAATCAGACACTTCGCAGCTGCACCACACAGATACCACGGAAACACCACAGACACGCACGCTTGTGCACACGAAGGAGGACAGAAATGTTGTGTGCACACACATATACACTGGGTGCATGAGGGAATCTCCAAAAAGTTTGTGGGAAACACGCACTACAAGAAAACTAGTCACGGGCTTCAAATCAACGTAGCTGTTAATTTAATTTTCTGCAAACATTTTGCAGCGCTCTCATACATGCGAATTGGACACAAACATGCGTGTTAACGGAGTCCTATTAAGTTCTACGCTGTCTTGGGGAAGGGGACAGATGCTTGTCACGCCCTGTCTGTGCGGTTCAGAAATGCTATGAAATACGCCTGCACCACTTCCTGCCTTCCAACAGCAGTGACTTAGCATCACCCAAGGGGCAGTGGTCTCTGAACAGACACTCCAGGGTTCGGGGGCTTCCGGTAACAAAGCTAACCATGAGATCACCATGAGAGCCACACCCTGCTGTTTCTACAGACACTGGAGCAAGTGACTTGCATTCAGGATGGAATGGCTGTCCCAAAGCTCCTCCACGGGCCCCCTTCCCTGCTGGACCCAGATGAGTCCTGTGTGGCCTGACCCATGCTTGGTTGCTCTTGGTCACACCCATGCCCTCGGCCCTGGGCATGCTCCAGGCTTGGCTGCAGGGCCAGCAGGGAGATCTAGCCTGCGGGAGCATCCAGGAAGACCCAGCCATTGGGACACCGAGACTGCTGGCTGACCAAGACGTCCCAGCACCCTTGGGACACACAGGTCTAGTGGACATGTTACGACAACTCCGTCCCCTGCCCTGTCTCGTGGGAAGAAAGGCGAAGTGCGAGGATTGGCGGTAGCCTGCCCCACTTTGCATTTTCAGAACATGCCAGCAGGACGGGGGAAGCTCCTTCCTTCGCGGGGTCCTCGCTCTGGATGCCCTGCCCCTATGCCGCCCACGTTCCAGGCCCTGCCTCGGAGCACAAGGGCAGCACCTGGCAGGCTTCCTGGCCTGGGGTGGGAAACCACGGACGCTGAGGCGGGAGGGGCGCAGCACGCAGGATTTATAGGCTGCGATGGTTTACCCGCACATCATTTACGCTCTGCTCGTGTGAGCTGTACCATAAACACGCCACCTGGATTATTTTTGGATGCAGCCACTGCAACGGTGACGAGATGAATGTATGGCCGTCTGCTTGGAATTCTACCATTCGGCCACAAACAAGCTCTTTTTTCTGGATAATTCTGCCCTCCCTCAGACAGCCGCTCAGCCCAGGTGGGGGGCTCACAATGGGACACCTCCTTTTTATCCAGTGTGGGTCCCGACTCTCCAGGTGAAATTAGAAAGAAGGTCTTTGTCACCTGCCAAGGTCACCACCCACCTGCACGGGGCAGCTTCCCGGGAGGGTGGCCTCCTCAGCTGGTGCCCAGGCAAGCTCCCTTGGACCCCTTGAAAAGCTATTTTCTAGAACAGTGGTACTTGTTTCTACTATGGTTTATTTCTAAAGGATATTTTTCATCTTACTCAAAAAGCACAGAACGGCAGACAAAGAATGAGAGATCTTGCATCTTCTGGTTCACTCCTCTCATGCCTACCCACAGCTGGAGCCGGACCAGGCTGAAGCCAGAGTCCAGGGGGTCTCCCGAAGGGCCAGCGGACAGCCAAGTACTGGAGCCATCCCTCTCCTGCTGCCTCCAGGGGGCGCACTAGCAGCAAACTGGCACCCTGGGTACCTGGGGCTTTTCATTCCTCCCTGGGGGCTTCCAGAGCGGCCCAGTCGGCAGGTTTTAAGCACGCCTGAGCATCTGCCACCCACATGTGCCTTGCACGGATGCTGCACCTACGCAGACACACACTGCTAACTGAGATCCCCCACACACTCCCATCAGGCTTGGCTCACTGGCAGAGACCAGGGTCTCCTCTTCCCGCCCACGCCCTGGTATCCTCTCCTGCCCACGCCCCCCATGGGGCGGAGTGCGGAGGCTGTGTGAGTCTCTCCTGCCTCCCACACAGTCTGGACTCCATCTCTCCTAAGGCCCTTCGTTGTTGGCTGGTTGTGAGCGCATCTCCCCATCAGCAGGGGTGAAGACTTCATTTGTTCCTGGCTGTAAGGACCCCCATAGTTGTTCCGATCTGTTGCTGGGTTCCCACCCTCCTGCCTCCCCACCCACCCTCCCCCGCCGCCGTCTTTTCAGAATCAATCTGTGAGCATCCTTCGTATACTGGGGATGCAAGCCAATTCGTGTTGCAACCCTTCGTGTTGCAAACAGTTCTCAGCCTGTTTGCATTACGCCTTGTTTACGGAGAGAGACTTTTCAGTCTTCACAAAGCCCTAGATTTGGGGTTTCTGTCTTTCAATACGATGTCTGGACTCTTCAGCTAGCTCTCAGAACATCTCCCTACCCATCTCCTGGACGCAAATATTCTGAAACATGACTTTCTGCTTTTCTTTTACATGGAAGCCTGCTGCCAGCCCAGGACATCTGCGTGGCTGAGCCCCGAGTTTCTCCTCTTCCAGGCTGGACGGGCAGCTATGCCCAGGCCAGTTAACAGGGTATTCTCCCCTGGGAGAGGCCATGGTTGTGTTCACACAGGGCTGTGTGGAGACTCTCACCTGCTCTCCTGTGTTACTTGTCAATTGCACACAGGCGCACGCAGCCCTCCATGACTGACTGACATGCCTGTCACATGTGCACACACAGCCCAGCTCATTGGAACGGGCAGCAGGTGGACCGTGTGCAGCTCACTTCCCGTCAGTGCGTCCTGGCCCCTGTGCCCGCCCATGCCTACCTCTTGCCATCTGTGCGTGCCAACATTCATCTATTTAGCCAGAGAAGCAAATTAATTACACTTTAAATGCTGTAAATATTGACTTCTGCTTTCTGGCTGGCTTGGAGAGCTGGCTGTTCAGTGGGTGGGCAGGGCCACAACTTCCCTGCACGCCACGGGAGACAGCAGGCAACCTGTGCTGTACTGGCTGTGCCAAGGAACCAGGATGAGCCCAGGAAAATCATGGGCTTTGCTTCAGCCTGAGAGATCCTACAGTGTGTGTGGCAGGAAGGACCAGACAGGGTCTGGAGCCCCCTAGGCCTGAGGTGGAAACCCCGGCTCTCGCCTCAGCAGCCACGTGACCTGGGACGAGACAGGGAAGCCCTCTGCTGCAAACTGAGCTCTCACCCAAATGCTGCGCTGCACCCCGGGATGGTGCTGGGAGCTAGGGAGTCTTGGGAGGTCATTAGGCTTGGGTGAGGCCCACCCAAGGGGCTTCGCATCCTCCTAGGAAGAGGAAGCAAGACTAGATCCCTAACTCCCCACACAGGGAGAAGGTGGTCAGCTGCAGGCCAGAGGTGCCCCCTCCCTACAACCTGCCCACGCTGGCACCCTGATGAAGATGCCCTGGGCCCCTGATTATTGCATGTCAGCCAGAGAACCGGGCACAGGACTAATCAGTGTAATGCATACAACTGAGCCCCACCCAGGAACCCAGGGCTCCCAGACACCTGCCTGTGAGCAGGTGACCTGAGCTACAGGCAGTAATTGCTGGCTTCTCCATCCCACATGGTCACCTGTGCTGCCCCAACACGCACTGCATGCGGGGAAAGACTGTCCCTGGGTGCAGCTGGAAACGGGCCATCCCGGCCTCCCTCCCCACAGGCTCCTCACGCACCTGCCTCGGGCCCTGAGCGCTGGCGCCCTCTGGTGGTGAAGAAGGAAATGCGCTTCGTTTTGAGTCCATCTTCGTTTCTGTAAGGGGTTAAGAATCCCAAAGGTGAGATGAGACCAGCAAAGGAACCGCAGCTCTGGTTGTGGCCATCTTGGCCATATGACGCTGAAACACGGCGAGGGGAGGGAATCGCATCTTCGGTGTTTGGGACTCTGCAGCTTATGTGCAGGGACGACGCTCAGGGGCCTGGGGAATCCATTCCAGGCCACCCTGATCCTGCTGCGGTGGACAGGGGTTGCCCTCCCTGAGCTTTCCCATGCTGGCAGGGTGTGGCCAGGTGCGAGCACAAATTCCAGGGAGAGCCTTTCCAGTCCCTCTTCCATGAACTTGTTAAAATCCCCATGTTCATGTGAGTGAGCAATGGGACAGAGACTTTACGACAAGAAATGGGGCTGTTGGGGAGACATGGGTGGCCTGATTAACAGCTGCCCCGTGTCCCCCACGCTTGGACGATCAACCCCTGCCTGGACCTCAGCACATGACAGCATGAGCATTCTAGAAGCAAAAAGCCAAACTCTAAGACACTTTGCATCCTAAATGTGTAACAGGTGTACACCCGACCCCCAGTGACAGCCAGTCAAAACCCAAGGGTACCAAAAGTAGCATACAGGGCTGGCACTGGGGTGGAGCAGGCTAAGCCAGCACCTGCCACGCTGCTCTCCCATACAAGCAGCAGCTCCGGTTCCCATCGGCGTCCTTGCTGACGCTCGTGGAGTATTCGGGCCCCTGCCGTCTGCTCGGGAGACCTGCGCTGGCCTGGCCGAGGAGTCCTAGCCCCTGGAGCCACCCGGGGAGTACACGAGTGGATGGAAGCTCTCCCTAATGCTCCTCTCTTTAACTCTGCCTTCCAGTAAATGAATCTTAAACATGGGTGCCAGTTCAGATCCTGGCGGCTGCACTCCTGATCCAACTCCGGCTAACGCTCCTGACAAAGCAGCAGATGGCTCGAGTGCTTGGGGCCCTGCAGCTACGTAAGAGACCCAGATGGGGTTCAAGGCTCCTATGCTTGCTTTCTTCTTCTTTGTTTTTTAAAGATTTATTTATTTGTATTCGAAGGAGACAGAGGGAGAGAAAGAGAGAGGGAGAGAGATTTTCCATCTGCTGGTTCACTCCCTAAATGGCTGCGATGGCCATAGCCGAGCTGATCTGAAGTCAGGTTCCAGGAGCTTCTTCCAGGTCTCTCATGTGGATGCAGCAACCCAAGACTTTGAGCCATCCTCCACTGTGTGCCCAGGTAATAACCAAGTATCTGGATTGGAAATGGAGCAACAGGGACTAGAATCGGTGCCCATATGGGATGCCAGCACTGTGGGTGGAGGATTAGCCTGTTGGACCACCGTGCCTGCCCAGACTCCTGGCCACAGCCTGGCCCAGCCCTGGCCATTGTGGCCATCAGGGCAGCAGAGTGGCATATGGAAGATTTTCTCTCTTTTCTATGTTTCTCCCTCTCTCTTTGCAACTGTTTCAAATACATAAATTTTAAAAAAAGATATATGACACGTTTATGCAAATATTCCAAAATCTGAAAAAAGTGTGGACGCTAAAACATTTTTAACCCCAAGCATTTTGGATTGAGGATGCTCAGCCTGCAGGTTTTCTGAGGCGGAGACCGAGGGGACAGGCCCTGGCTCAGAGTGCCCGGCGTCTTTACAAGCAGGAGGGGAGGGGGACATGGACCCACAGGGGAACAGCTGCACGAGGACTCGGAGAAAGACAAGACGGGCATCCAGGGAGTGGCCTCGGGAGCCAGGGACACTGCCAGCAGCTCCCTCCCAGACGCGGGGTCTCCGGAACGGGAAGCAGGCACCTGTGTTGGCTGAGCCTGTGTCCTGCCTCCTACTGACTACCACCCCCAACCGGGGAGGCCCCTGTAAGGCTCTGGGGCTTGCCAGGTATCCCAAGCCCCCTGCTTACTTGCCAAGCTGGTTTCTAGAGAGATCCAGGGTTTTGAGTTGTCGGCAGGTCCACTTGTCTTGGGGTGGGAGGGCCACGAGCTGGTTTCCTTGCAGCCGCAGGAACATGAGGGCCTTAGGGTGTGTGGGGGAGGGAAAGAGGCCGAGCTGGCATCAGGCACCAAGTGGGGGAGGGGAGACCACGGAGGAAAATCTGCTGGATCCCTGCCAGCAGCATCCAGATAGTCAGTTCTGACACCCGAATGCTAAGGCTCGTGGACTTACGCAAGCTGCACAGCTGGGACCAAGGAGGGTGGCCCCTGTTGGTGACAGGAGTCTTGAGGTCTCACTGGCAAAGTCCAGGGCCTCCCCAGAGTGGTGGGCTGGAGCACTCAGGGACGCCCTGAGGGGACCAGTCCCATGCTGGGCATCCCCCAGGCTTAGGGACAGAGTGGGGGTAATCAGTGTGTGTGTGTGTATGTATGTGTGTGGCTCCACCACCAATGGGACCACCAGGGAGTCGGGGCTCCACACTGGGACGTGCAGCGAACTTTATTAAATCGGCGTGCTACAGCGTCTTCACCCAGGGCCCTAACAGCCCCTCATTCAGGAGTCCCAGTTCCAAGGGCTTCTGTGTCCTTCCTCGTGGGCAGGCTGATGTTGCGGCCCATGGAGGGCAGGGGTGCAGGCACTGGCGGAAGGCCCCCTGCCAGCCAGGTCCTAGCACTAGTGCTAAGGACACCTCACCCCCACCTCCCCATGCCACGTCACATGGTCTGGAGCACGTGGTTGATGGTGGAGGGTGGGGCTGTGTAACACAGAATATGGAAAGGACTGGGTCCCCACCCACTAGCGCCCTCTGGGTGACCACGCCCCTCCTGGCTGAAGGTGGGCTCTGGGTCTTCTGCCTGCTGTCGCTCAGTGGTGGCTTTGGGTGGCCAGGGCAGGGACACTGGGCTGCATGTGGCTCTCTGGCCTCACGGCCTGGCCCTGTGCCCTGGGAGTCCCTGTAGGGAGCTGTCCTTTTGTTCCCCATCAGCACCCAGCACCATGAGGGGCCTTCCTGCAGGTCAAGGGGTTGCTGGGTTGGGCAGCCAGCCACCAGCTGGCTCCCTCGCAGAGCCGGATCTCTGCATCCCAGCACCCTGCTGTCCCAAGTCCTCTCAGGACCACCAGCGTTTTGGCAGGCAGAACTAGCTGCAGCTTGCACGGGCAGGGCCACAGGCAGGGCCACGGGCAGGGCCACAGGCAGGGCCACAGGCAGGGCCACGGGCAGGACCACGGGCAGGGCTCCCCCCACAGTGGGAGGAAGGGGCAAGGCACACTCACGTCCAGCTGGAAGAGGCCCAGGGGCACGGCCTTGAGTGCATTCTCGGAGAAGTCCACGTCTCTGAGGTGGTTCTTCCAGAACACAGTCACCTTGTCGGGCAGCGCCTCCAGGGCGTTTCTGGATGCTTTGCAGCACTTCTAAAGGGGGAGAAGGAAGATGGACCTGCTGTACAGTCACTGGGAGGCTCTGAGAGTGCGAGGGTCCAGTGTCAGTGCGGAGTGCAGGGTCAGTGCGGAGTGCAGGGTCAGTGTGGAGGCCCAGTGTCAGTGTGGAGGCCCAGGGTCAGTGTGGATGCCACTAGTGTCAGTGTGGAAGCCCAGGGTCAGCATGGAGGCCTAGTGTCAGTGTAGAGGCCCAAGGTCAGCGAGCATACCCAGGGTCTCACCAGCTTAGGCAGCAATGGGAATGGAGCTTCCCTAGGGAGATTTTCCTTATTTCTAGAACACCTGGTCCATCGTGCTGGGACAGAGTGGAATAATTCAGGGTAGAGACCACACCCACAGCGTTAAACTGCAGACACTGATTTGAGTGTGGGACACTGGCTGACTGAATCTACAGTCCCGGAGACCTGCACACTTGCCTTTCTGCTTTACCCAGCACAGTTCCCAACAGTGGCACCCTGAATGTACTGCTTATCTGTACACATGTGAAAGGCAGAGAGAGAGAGAGGATCTAGCTGCTGGTTCACTCCCTAGATGTCTGTAATGGCCAGCACTGGGCCAGGCTGCACCCAGAAGCCGGGTCTCCCACGTGGCTGCAGCGGGGACGTGGCCGCAGAGGGGACGTGGCCATCTTCCTCTGTTTCGCCAGGTGCACCCACAGAGAGCCGAATCAGAAGTGGAGCAGCTGGGGTTCAAGTTGGCGCCCGTACGGGTTATCGGCATTGCAGAGGGTGGCTGAGCTGTTCTTAAAAGAGCCACCTGTTTCCCTCGGGGGCATAATCCTGTGTCAGGGTGTACAGCTGTCAGTGTGGGCCCCTGGGGTGGGAAAGGCTGGGTTGCTGGTGGGGGCCTCGCTGTATGCTGAGGGACCTCGCTCATCCTCAGCATAGGACCTACCTTCCTGCCATCTGGCGTGCGTGGCAGGTGCGTGTGTGTGTGTGTGTGTGTGTGTGTGTGTGTGTGTGTGTGTGTGTGTGTGTGTGTGTGTGTGTGTGTGTGTGTGTGTGTGTGTTATACTCACTAGGGGGCAGGCCCAGGGGTCTGGGAACTCACCAGGGGGCAGGCCCAGGGGTCTGGGAACACCTTCAGGTTGTTTCTGGAGACATTGAGGGAGCTGAGGGATTTGAAGGAATGCATGAACAGGGCCGGGAGCTCCGTCAGCTTGTTGTCCGACAGATCGAGTTCCTGCAGCTTCCGCAGACCGATCCAATTGGTGGCTGCGGGTGGACAAGGATGGCTTGGTGGCCTCGTACCAGGAAGCAAACAAGCAGCCCTGGGGAGTGCCCGGCTGGCCCCACATACCATTTTCTTCTTCAAACATTTTCTCCAGGTAGTTCTTGGAAGCCGTGAGCCTCTGCAGTTTGGAGAGGTGCAGGAAGCCCGGCGGCAGGTGGCACAGCTTGTTGCAGGAGATGTCAATATCCAGCAGCCTGGGGCGGGTGGGAGAAGGGGCGGGGCCTGAGGAGCCGGAAGGCGATCCCTGGCACAGCTCTCTCTAAATAAGGGGTGCAGGGCCTCCCGTTCCCTGGACAAGCTGAACACCAGGCGCTGGAGACATGGCACACGGGACTGTCACTGGATGACCCCTGACCTTGCTCTGTGCAGAGAGGAAATGAGAACGCTGATGGAAGTGATTGGAAACCCTTCCCCGAATGGCCCACCGGCTGGCACCTGCTGGCCACCTGGGCTGGGGCCCTCGGAGCTGCTGGGAGACCCCAGAGCTCCAACCTTGGCAGGCTGTGCTGGCCATGTCATTCTGGGCCAGGCAAGCCATGTCTCTAGTACTCTGTGCACACCTGAGCGTGGGGCTGTGACCTTGTGCCCAGGAGCCGGCGTAAGGTGGCTGCAATGTCCTTTCTAGCTAGAACACTTGGTTTTCAAGACCACAGAGCACAGGCTGGGGAGACAGCGGGCACACCTGGAGCAGATGATCTCGTCCGAGGACTGCACGCTGGGCAGCTCGCCCAGGTGGTTGGCAGAGAGGTTCAGCTTTTGGAGGTGGATGAGTCCCCAGGGGATGACGGAGGGCAGCGAAGCCAGGCAGTTGGCAGACAAGTCGAGCTCGGTGATCTGGCAGGAGATGTCGATGAGCCAGTCCAGATCCACCCAGGGCAGCTTGAGACGGGACCACTTCACACGAAGCGCCTGCTGTGACAGAAGGGGAAGAAACACAAGTGGACGGGCAGGCCGCGGCCAAGGGCGGGGTAGGGGCCGGCATGCCTGAGAAGAAAGTAGTGCCAGCCTGTGTGCCCACCCTGCTGGAGTCTGGAAGTGCCAGCGCACCCAGCACCTGATATGCAGGAGGCACCTGCAGCCTGCAGGGAATCCAGCAGCAACTCACCGTCCAGCTCTGGGGGAGCTGGTGGGCTCAGTGCCACCTCCCTGCAAGAGTGCCCCAGGAAGCAACCTTGCCCAGTATGGAGGAAGAGACTGGAGAAGCAGCTGGGGACCCGAGCTTAGTACTCTCTTTCCTGGAGGACCACAGCCACCTGCACCACACCAGGCCCCAATGCATACCCTGTGTGGCAGGCAGAGTCCAGAAGGGACTATATAAGCAGACCCATGGCCATATCAGCCGAAGGCCAGCTCCCCAGGACCCCAAGCCCCCTGTGGGTTATGGGGAAGGCAGCTTTGCTATGAGCTAGACTGGCATGAGGCTCAGCTGGTCACTTTTAATAACAGTCCAAGATGACAAGCAGTAGCGTCCATGGCAATCTGCCCCAAATGGCCAGGATGCGTGTGGACCTGGCAGCTCCTCTCCCTTCTGTCCCAACTTCCAACTTAGGACCAACCAGACAAAGTCAAGTCCTCTCCCTCTGCCAGGGGGTTCAGCTCTGAACGTTTTTCAACACACACAGGAAAACAGTCATAATAAACTAGGCTCAGAGCAATTGAGTGATTTATCCAGGCGCCAGGGGGTTCTTCTTCCTGCCCCAGCTGCCCCAGGCCAGCAGGTTCCGCTCAGGGCACCCCGGACACCAAGGCTGGCCTTTGCTGATGTCCACAGGAGGGGGTGGGCAAGGCCGGAGATCCGCTGCTGTGTGCTGGCCAGCGGGATCCGGAAAGGTACACATGAGTGAGACTAGAAGGCTGCACCAGGTTCCTGGGGGTGGGGGCGGAAACTGGCCTTTTCGACTCGTCTCTCCAGAGTCTGGAGCGCTGTGTTGGAACATGAGAGACTCACATATATAAACAAAAATGAGTGTTTTGCAAATGGGAGAATGTAGCCCCTGGGCAGGCGCTGGGAGAGGCACCAACCACTGGGACAGTTGGCCTTCCAAGTGGCCAGCGGCCAGCGGCCAGGCTGGACCCATGCGGCCACTAGATGGTGCAGTGCACTTGCGTTTTTCTCCTCCTCCCTGCTTGTTCTGGCCACTGAGAGGCCTGTGCCCAGCCTTTCTCAAAGCCCAGGGACTCAGTCTTCCCAGAGGAGAGGAACAGGCAATCAGAACCATGAGGTCTTAGTCTCAGCTAATTTTTTTTTTTTTTAGGATAAATCACTCAATTGCTCTGGGCCTAGTTTATTATGACTGTTTTCCTGTGTGTGTTGAAAAACGTTCAGAGCTGAAGGAAAGCTGAAATAAGACCCAACGGATACCCACAGAGCACCCCCCTCTCCCCCACACACACCGCACGCTGTAAGCCAAACTATCTGATCGCAGGATGGATTCCACATCATCGCACTGCATCCCCTGAGCACCTCGGCTTCTCTCTCTGAGGAACAAACGTGTGTTTATACCTGATGAACTCAGTTATCATGTGTGAGAAACACTTCACAGGCCCTGTCAAATATTCCAGAAACATCCTTTATCGACCTGAGAGTCCTGACTCAGGCATCTGAACCCGCACCTTAACCACCAGGTGACCGCCGAAAGCTTCTCTTCCATGTTGAAGAGTCCTCATGGCTTTCTGTGCACACTGGCATTGTTTTTTTTAAATTAAAGGACAAGCTTATGATTTTATTTTGATAATCTTTGCATAGTTGATTAGGGCACAAAGAGTCAAGAGCTACAGGAAAGTAAGATCATGGTTTCCACATTTCTCTGTGTGTATCTGGGGTGCGGAGGGAGATGGAGAAGCCCCGCCCAGCCTCCCACCCATCCCAGGGTCCCTGACGTGGGGCATGCTCCGAGGGCACTGCTCCAGTAATTTTGATAGTTCAACAGTTCTGAGTTGCTGCCAATCTCGCCATTAACATGCACGATGAAATCTCTCCAGAATGCAATGGTGACACAGTCCACCTTAGAGTCTCCGTTTGCTCAGATTCTCACTGCCAACGCTTGGCTGGGGTAGTTGATCAGTTTGTTCTGTCCTCTGTTATGGCACCGGGTAGCACTGGTTTTTCACTCTTCAAAGCTTTCCCTAAATTTCAGATTCAAGTGAAACTTTTTGGCTACATGAGAAAAGGATGAGTCCTTCCCACGGACTGTCAGCAGGGGGCGCTGGATATCAGGTTGTCCTACGGGGCCTTGGTGACTAAGAGGTCAGCAACTGTGGGGTGACAGCGGCCATTGTGAATGTCCCTTGCTCTATGTCACTCCACTCAGTGCGTCTGGCAACCGTGTCCATCCAGAACAACGATAACTTCCCACAAGCATTACACACACGGTCTTCTGTACAGAAAAATGCTCACCTCTTCCACCTACACAAGATCACTCTGAACTCACAGATTCTGCTTTAATTTAAAAGTCTCTTTCCCATGATTTTAATTTTATTTGTTCAAAAGGCAGAGAGAGAGAGAATCTTCCATCTGCTGGTTCACTCTCCAGATGGCTGCAACGGCAGGGGTTGGACCAAGAGCCTGGGACTTTATCCAGATCTCCGCCATGGCGGGGCAGGGGGACAAGCTCTCGGCCAGCTCCTGTTCCCAGGTGCACTAACCGGGAGCTGCATCAGGAGTGGAACAGCCAACTCAAGAACCAGCGTCTATATGGGATGCTGCATTTGCCCAGGTTCAAAGCATTTTAATTCATTATTATTTTCATCTATTTTATGCCCAAATCACTCCCAGTTTACTGAGGCTGAGTCCTCTCCGTCCAGGAGGACTCCTGGGCCTGTGACAGGTCTCACTGGTTTGGGACCCCTTCCTACTTGCTGGCAACCCATGAGTGTTGGTCTCCTCGGGAGTCCCTGTAGGTGAGCGGGGAGCTGGGTGTGCTGACCCCTGCAGGACATTACTGCTTACTGCATTGGCTTCTGACGTGCCACGGTTCGAACGCAGGGTCTTCCCAACTTTCTAACGGTTCGCTGTTGTACCACTATTCACCTCACTATTGTTTGGCTTGACGTTCTGGGTCCCTTCTGGACCCAGGGACAGGCTGAGAGGACAGGCACGGTCACCACAACTCTGTAAGGCCAAAGATAGCTCTCCCAGGGCCCAGGCACGCTGAGATACACCCAGGCCCGAGGGCCAGGGCCAGCCACCCGACAGGAAGTCAGTGTCCAGTCTGGCACCTGACTCTCCTTGACCTTCCCCCGCCACAGTCAATCACTGTAGAGTGACGTGGACCTGACCTCAAGGCCGCAGCCAAGGGCAAGGAGGAGTTTGATTTTGGTGTCCCCTGTCCAGCATGTCAGTGAAATGCCATGGGCCACCAGGGACAAGAGGCGGCCTGCCACTGTGACGTGAGCTGATGGCATGAATGCGCTAGATATCTTCAGGGGGCAGCCAGGGCACTGCTGTTGACCCAGCCACCTCCCCCACGTCCTCCAGCTGCCTCCTTAAGCTGGGTCTGGGCTTGGCTGGGGTGGAGGACAGCAGAGCTGGATACGGCCTCCGGCTCTGTCCAGGCGAGCCTCCATGTGATGCTGAGCTGCACTGAATTGGCCCAGGGGTCCTGTCCCCACCACGCAGGCTGCGTGGCCATGCAGAATCCAGAGTGTAGGCACCTCCGAACTCAACACGGTGCTGCCCTGTTGCAGACTGAAACACGACAGGACTTCCAAAAGTCATGGAGAAATGCAATTCCACACTAAGTTTATCTTGGGGCCACACTATTGGAACTCCATGGATGGCAGCGGTGGGACCTAATTACTGGGAACTGCCAAGTGCCAGAGGGGCTGCCCCAAGAATGGGGGAATGGAGCGGGAAATACCAGGTCAGCTGGGCCAGGGACCCTTACTTCCAAAAGCCAGTGTCCCTTCAGCGTGGGGTCACAAGGTGGGTGAGGGCTGAAAGAGCGCACACAGAGCCGGTGTCTGCCCAGCGTGTCCTGTGACCACCAGGAAAGGGACGGCGTCCCTCCCACTGCTCCTGGGGTCTGCTTGGCCCTTCCTCCTCCTGTCCTACCCCCAACATTTCTCCTGCGGGTCCTGGCTTGGGTGACTCTTTCCTCACCCCTGACCACAGCGCAGCAGGCACCCTCTTGTTTGACTTGGCACCGGCGACTCAGCAGCACGCTCCTGAGTGGTGGCATGTGCCATTCATCCTGTCAGGCTCCAGGGTGGCAGTAACACATGGCAGCTCACGGGCCAGAGAGAAGCACACGCATGCGTGTTGGTGCATGTGCCGGGCGTAAGTGTGTACACGCGGGCTTGGGTGAGCGTGCGCCTGGATCAAGGGCTTCTTGACATTGTCCTTCCAGCCAAGAACGAACACTCGAACACTCGTAGGGAAATGTGTGCTCCCCCGGGGGCTCTCGCGGGAGGAAGGCCGCTGAGCGAGGCGTGGCCACGAGTGCTGCTCACTTCCCTAGACTTGAGGAGGAAGGGGAAGTGGGGACTGCTGTACTCCAGCCCCTTCTGGTTTTGCACCTGCCAGGTCTCCTCATGCTGACACTGCCAAACTTGAGGCCAGAGAGAAGTAGGAAAAAGCAGAAGGCTGCAGTGAAGGGAACAGAACACGCTGCAGCCAGCAAAGGAGCTGTGACCACAAAGCCTGAAGAAGCCACAGAAACTCAAAGACCAGGAGGACTCTGCGCAACAGACCCGGTGTGGCGTGGACAGGCCTGGGCCAGCTCCTCCCGGTGACCCGGGGTGACACATCGGAAGTGATGGCTGCAGAAGGGCGTCTGTGCACAGAAGGCAACACACACAGCCAACTGCAAGCCTGCTACTGCCCTCCAGGACAGCGGAGGGGGCAGTGAGCCATGCAGACCCACTGTAGCGAGCCAGTGGACCCACCACAGTGAGCCATGTGGACGCGCCAT